GACCCTCCCACCTTCAAAAAAGTTAATGAATTGGCATGAAAGTGATGTCGCTCGGTTCAGAAAGAGCAAAAACGAATATCTACCAAATTTCATCGGAAAATATTCACCGGTTTTCAAGATATTATACTTTTACTTTTGTTTACTTTTTGGGATCTCCGCTGTTCCTAGCGACTTTATTTGAAAGTGCGGCATTTGTTGCGCGCAAAGCAGCATATACCACCGCGTGCTACAAAACGTTTTAGTCAAACATTTAACGGACGTTCGAAAGCCTGATGACGTCATCAGATTCCCGTAATGGTTAACCCTCGCCCGCACATGCCATTTTCCCATCCTAGAACGCACATGGGGGGGGGGGGTTGCCACCTGCTACATGTTGATGGTAGCATGGATTTTTTTCCAGTCTGGCACTCCGTCAATGCCCTCGAATCCTAACTTGATATCCGATGAAGGTTATCTACTTTCATGTTTTTAACTCATGCACACTAGCAACAACAGAGGAAGTAAAAATCGTAAAGATCAGGTCCTACATGCCCACATGGCCTCTAAATTTTGTGTACATACACCTAAGATAAGGTAGGGTTTGGAAGGATTAGCTCAATCACTCAGTTCTTTCCTATTTTGATTTATTAACATCAGTGAAATCCAACTACACTAAATTTGTGATTCTTGAATATTTCTTTTCGTGAATATGACTTACCTCACGTCTTGAACTATCTTCAGGAAACCATTCTTCCCTTGTAATCACTCATAAGACGCGCACCCACCACAAACATATCCCGAAAAACCTTAACCCGCGCCGTGCTGGTGGCCTGAACTTTCCGCCGAGTGCTGGGGGGGGGGCGTTTTCACGCCCCCCCGTCTAACTCGGCTCCTGGGCCACGTAGCGACACGCGGTAAGCGGCAATCGAAAGAGCGTCAAAAATAAGGACGAAAACACTTCGGTCATTTTTTGGGTCAGGTCAAAGGTCAGGTCACCAGAGGTCACCAAAGGTAAAATGTTGACTATTTCAACATTTTGGAAACTGCCAACGGCTATCTCGGGAACCGATAGAGCTACAGCGCCGCGGAAAAGCGCATTCGATAGCCCTTTTACAGATCTTTCTGAGTAATGTCCTCAGATTTGACCTCAGGTCAACGGTTTAGCCTCCAGAGGGCAAAAACTCCAAAAATAGCCGTTTTTACGAAAAACGTTTTTTCGTCAATAACTTTTGACTCATAAGCGCCATGACATTACTTTTGCCAGCATCGTGTTTCTCTCGTCGAGACGCGTCGAATGAACTATTCGTTGACCTTGAAAGGTCATTTTGAAAATTTGACCTCAGGTCAAGGTCATGACCTGACCGAAAAGGGTCATGTTGCATATCAGTCGATCCGTATCGTCGAGCTGAGCACATCTGACGTGTTTTCACCGCTCTAGCACGTCTCTATCAAAAGTTGTAGCCAAAAAACTGCTGGCGACCGTTCATGACCTGAGATGACCTCAGGGGCACACAGAGGGGTCACAGGTGCATTTTTCCTATTCAGTGTGTCATGTTTACCTATGAACCGATGTTTGAGAGCGTTTTGAACGATATTCGTCCAAAAGAGGCGCATTTCAATTTTCTCCCATTGACTTATAATGGAGAGGTCGCAAAATTGACCTGACCTTAGGTCACAGATATCAAAAATCCGAGATATACATTTTATACATACTGTTACTCATATCAATCGCTGAAAGTTTCAAAGTGATCGTTCAGTCGGTGTAGCTATAGCGAGCCTTTGAACTTTTTCTGAGGTAAGGTCACTTGACGTGACCTGGTGACCTGACCTTGAACGGCCTAGGTCTGAAATTTTCACAACATGTGCGGAAATGATGTAGGAACACGTGTACCAAAAACGGCGGCGCTGCGCGCCGCCGTTTTTGAGATATTTGCGAAAAACCTGAGGGGGGGGGGCGTAAAAACGCCCCCCCCCCCAGCACGGCGCGGGCAGTCGTCAGCTTTGTCTCCAGCGTGAATAACAAAGTGATGTGGGGTCCACATGACGTCAAATATTTTTTTTCCAATCTCGAGAATTACATGTACCATGGTAAGTAAAATGTGTTCCAAAGGTCAATTATATGCATATTATCACGTTTTAGTGCAAATAATCCAAATATTGGCCTTCAAATTGGTAAAATTATCAATAAACTGTTTTTGATGACGTCATTATGCAGGGGTTGTTTTTGCTTCCATACACAAGTACCTATCTTTTGAAATGAGAGTACAGATGGTGACAATTAATGGCGCAATATTTCAGCGGTTTTTATGTGTGACAGTAGGAAATGCGGCAAAAGCAATCGCAATCGATTAGATTGCTTCCATATAGCGTTGGCTGTTGGCCACCCAAAACGAATTTGAAGGGAAAACTGAAATAAACCATGGCGTCCGGCTCAGATGCCCAAATCGTTTAATTCCTCATGTCAGCATTTGCATGGCAAAGGCTGACATGCTCCGATGTCAGTATAAACTCGTTTCTGGGCGTTTCGTATCAAAATACACTACGTTTAATTAAGGCTGACAAAAATGTCAGGTATAATTAAAAATAATTGAAAATCCGGCAAATGCTGACAAAATGTCAGCGTAAAAGGGAAATTCAATTACGGGTGCAATGGAATCTCTGGAAGAACTGTGATGGCTCCGCGGCTCTGGTCGGCTGGCACGGTTCCAGAACGGAGGCGTGTTGGGCGAGCAGAGGGCGGACAGACGGCGGCAGGTGAGAGAGAGAGAGAGATCATTGACGAGATAGGCGGTCGTCCGTGCCACGGGCGTTCCCACTTGCTGTAGCGAAGAAGGCGATTGGGACCGGCTGCTCTTCGATGATTTGGTGGAGGACGGCACCGGCTGCCACAGCGGAACAGTCGGTCGTTAGCTGTAGTGGTTGCAGCCTGGGACTTGGTGAGCGAGCTGGCAGGCGTGTTGAAGGGCAGTCTTCGCAGCGCTAAAAGCGCCGGCTGCAGACTCGCTCCACTCCATGCGGAGGTGTGCTGGCTTGTTTGGCCGCTGGCACCACGGGCGGCTCGTTCTGGCGGCGGTTCCGAAGTAAGTGCACGGCATAACTTGGGCGTTGTCCGTCACTGAAGGGCATCACCCCGAGAGGCAGCTGATTCGGCTGGGCTGAGGAGGGCGTTTGGGTGAGGTTTCTTGGTCGTTCTTCATCCTGTGGGTCTGGTTGGGTCTTGCTGTTACTTGTTGGTTTCTTAGTCGTTCTTCATCCTGTGGGTCTGGTTGGGTCTTGTTGTTACTTGTTGTTTGCGGTTAACAGACAAGTGCGATGGTACCGGGTGATCACGTCGGGGTCACCAATTTGTGGTGGTTGGGTGTTGTTTGGGCATACAGTGCCCTCCCACGATGATTGAAGAAAAGGCACCCGGTACGAATTGCACTTGTATTTCTATTGATTCGAGGTAGACAGCGTGGCGAGTTGAGAAGCGCACAGCACGACGGTCGGTGTTAGACTCCCTCGGGGGTCGTGCGTGACCCATCTTTTATACATCACGTTACACAACCTTTGGACTATGCTCAAAGCAAGTGCAAACTTGCACGGCAGCGGAGAGGGGACAGAAGGCGCCAGCTTGGCGGCCTACGTGCCTTAACCCTCGCCGGACCTATTGGTTTTCTACATACGCGCCGGCCGAGGGGGGGGGGGGGGGCGGGTACGACCCCCCCCCTCGCCGTTTCGCCCCTGGTGGAGCTAGCGCGTCGCGGAAAAAACGAGCGTGTGCGCCGTTACGAGACGCAGAGATTGGTACCCGAATTTAAGGTCCTAGGTCAACCGGTGACCTCTGAGGTCAGGTCAAGTGCCCCAGGGTACGGTTCAGTTTTTGGTGAATAACTTCGCAAAAAACGGCCGCAGAGCGCCGATTTTGGCAGCATCGTGTTCGCCTCGCTCAGGCGCGTCGAATGATATACTTTTTGTCCGGGTCAGGTCAACTTGGGGTGTTGACCTCAGGTCAAGGTCAGGTCAGCACCCCCAGGTCACGAAGCTGGTCGAAAGAGGTCATGTCGCATATCATTCGATTCGGCAGGCCTTCCTGAGTCCATTGTTGCCTTTCCCAACTCGCTAGCTCAATTTGATCAAGAGTTATTGACGAAAAACTAATTTGACCTTGATGACGTCATAAATGACGTCACGCAAGGTCAACATTGCAAAAGTGACGCATCTAACCTTGCAAGGAGTGCATCAAATCACGATTCTGTGTGCTTGAGATAGTTGGAGATCGTTCCCGGCGCCAGAATAGCAGTTTGAATTTGTCCCCATTGACTTATAATGGTGAGGTCACGAAAATGACCTGACCTCATATGACCTTTAGGAAAAATCCGAGATATACAAGTTGTGGGACTCATAATGGATACTAGATCCTGCAAGTTTCATTTCCCTGTGACATCTCCTCTGGCAGTGAGGGCGTTGCGAAGTTGCGACATCTGAAGACCGTGCAGAGGTTCACTTATGACGTCATAGGTCAGTGACCTGACCTGACCCAAAAATGCGGTTGGTGTCAAAAGATCCGGCTTGGATCAAAGGTCAGGTATGCCAAGTTTCAGCTCTCTATCGCCAGCGTGTTCGGAGCTATCGCGAAAAAACCCTATGGGGGGGGCGGCACCCGCCCCCCCCCCCCCCTCGGCCGGCGAGGGTTAAAGCGACATGCATTTAATTTACAGATGCGCGCGCGTACCGCCGGACGTCTGCTCCCGGCCCCGCCCCGCACAATGCCTCATTACTCATTTTGAGTCTAGACGGGGCGGCGGCGGCGGCGCAGTGGCACGGCGGTCACGATGCCTGCCGGTCGGCCATCACACGGCGGCACAGCGCGACGGTGGCGCGGGTTGGTCTGACAGCTCGGTGACACTGTTCATCTACTAACACTTTTGTCGGTGACATCTATACCGGAGGGTAATAAGTCGGATAATATCAAACACAATACTGCTGAGCAGGAGGGGCGGCGGACGATCGGCTGATCATGTATCATGGCATCACGAAAGTAATTAGAGCGGGTAATATTTAACATCACATCACCACACACACACGGCAGCAGTCAGCTGGCGGCCCCGGCCGACTGGCTCGGCCTCTCTGCAGTCAGCTCATCACTGCAAGGTCGGTAATGCAGCGCATCATTTCCCCCACTTGCGCACTTTGACCCCATCGCCTTCCTGTCTCTTCAGCTGCCAGTACAGCTCCCGGCCTGTGGACAGAGCAGAGACACGTCTGAGGTGGACACGTCACACACAGACAGACACACAGACAGCGGTACAGCCATGTCCACACACCGCCGGCCAGTGACGTCACACAGACAGGACAGACGGCTGACGTGACGTCACCGTCGGCCGTGGTGGCCGTGACGCGTCATGTCACCGTCCGTGACGTGGCCTGCGGCGGTGGTCGAGTGTGTGTGTCTGAGCGGCCGGTGGCGCCGTGCAGCGTCTGTTGTGAGGGAGTAGGGACTGACTGGTCAGAGGCGCGGCGCGCGGCGCCCTCTCACCTACCGGGGACAATGAGAAGGATGGTACGGGGCCAGCCATTACTGTCCCGGCCCAGGTCCGCCTCCTTCAGGGCGGTCAGCACGGCCCGGCCGGTGTCTGCCGTGCAGTGAAGGCACAGCCCAATCAGCTTCCGACAGGACTTCACCAGTCTGTAACAGAGCAGAGCAGCAGAGCCATCACAAACAAACACAGCGGCACCAGCCGGCCGGACGCACGAGTCAGTGTCAGTGTGTCAGTAGTTCAGTGTCAGTGTGTTGGTGTCCGTGTCAGTGTGTCACTGTCAGTGTGTCAGTGTCAGTGTGTCAGTGTCAGTGTGTCAGTGTCAGTGTGTCAGTGTCAGTGTGTCAGTGCCCCTGTGTCACTGTGTTAGTGTGTCAGTGTCAGCGTGTCAGTGTCAGCGTGTCAGTGTCAGCGTGTCAGTGTCAGCGTGTCAGTGTGTCAGTGTCAGTGTCAGTGTCAGTGTGTCAGTGTCAGTGTCAGTGTCTGACAGGACACCCCTCGCCAGTGTCTGCTGACTGACCTGGTGTACGCTGCTGCTGTGAAGGCCGTCTCTGCCGGCCGCTGGCGGTCCCCCAGTGTAAGCCACCACAGCCCGGGGCAGCCGCTGAGACTGTCCAGCACGGCGTCAGGGACGCCGCCGGACAGGGTGAGTCTGTACAGCTTAGGGCACCTGGTGAGGGGTTCCAGGCTCACGGTGTCAGGGACGCCGCCGGACAGGGTGAGATACTGCAGCTCAGGGCACCTGGTGAGGGGCTCCAGGCTGCCGGCCGTGAGATCAGGACAGTCTGGAAAACACACAGACACACATACAGACAGGATCAGCGGACTGCAATACATGTCGATACATGGAAAAAAAAAACGGAACAGCTATATGAATTCGCATGGTTTTATGGACACCGTAAGCCTTGGTATAACAGTGGTTCTATATGATATGCCATATTATAAACATGAATGAATGTGATAACATGAATGAATGCACATGATAACATGAATGTTCATGTTATCTATGGATATGCAATCAGTTCAGCCAATGCATTGAAGTGCACCAAACATTGCATTTCAATCGCAATATGTAGGTATGTTCAACTGACTATGACCGAATATGCCACTGATTGAACAGTCCTCCTCCATTTTGGAGCTCAGTTAGCTTCATTATATCGCAAAGCACATTGGCTATGGACCACACCCCTCTCCATAAGGTCCGACAACGGCACACCGTTACTCGGTGCCCGCCATCAGTGTTCGCCACGGGCCCCAAAATCCCCAGCCCAGCCCGGCCCGGGCCCATGGGTTCAGAGCCCGGCCCACGGCCCGTAGCCCGCTCTTGGCAAATATTCCAAGCCCAGCCCGGCCCGGCCCGTCAAAAATAGCAATCTAGTTATTGTCTTAGTCTATTGCTATAATAAGCATGATTGATTACACTATTTTGAGAACAATTCAAATTGCATGAATATTAACATGGCAATCATGACTCCCTTCTTTTCAATGAATATAATCATTTTAAGTACCTGGGCACAAATTTTAACAGTAACAGCAAGCACCTCAGTCAATTAGGTCATGATTACACACCTATAAAAAGTTCACATGATTATATTAACTACATTCTATGAGTAAAGTTATCTTGCAAGCTGATGTGTGTGAACATATCATTCATAATTGGTGACTCTAATGCATACTTGAAGGAAGTATTTGCAACATACTCTATACTTCCCAGCACTTACCAGCAGAAAAAAAGCTTGACTTATGGGAATTGATGAATCTGTCTGGGATTGACCTTGCTGTTAACCCTATTCCTGGCGGGGGGGGGGGCCTCAGGAGCCCCCCCCTGAGGTTTTTTGGTTATATCTCCCAAACGCGTTGAGCTAGGAAGCTCAAATTTTCTGACTTTTCCTAAAAGGCTTCTACGCAACATGTCTGAAAATTTTGAGTTGATCTGACCTCAGGTCAGGTCACCAGAGGCGGTTTGGTGACGCTACCTCAGAAAAGTTTGCAATCACGCCAGAGCTAGAGTTTTTGACCGATCAATTTCTTCTCTTCAGGGTTTAGTTAGGGTACCAGTATGTGCAATTTGTATATCTCGGAATTTTGATATCGGTGACCTAAGGTCAGGTCAATTTCGCGACCTCCCCATTATAAGTCAATGGGGGAAAAATCAACTCCCTGTTTTTACCACTAAAACGGGTCGGAATGGCCCCATATACCATACATGACTTCATATACGATCAACCTTCACTACCTTGAGGTCTGTTTTGCTGTTGAGCAGCTGTGAGGTCATGTGACGTCATCAAAGGTCACCAAAGGATTTTGGCCAATAACTCCGTACAGGAACAAGATACAGACGCGTGGATGGTCTCATTGTGTTCAGCTCGTCAAGACGCATCGAATGATATACATGATGACCTCGAGGTCACGTGACCTGAGGTCAACCTTTGACCTTGACCTTTCGAGGTCAACATATATATCATTCGATGCGGATTGACGAGAGGATCACGATGATGCCCTTAGTTTGTTCCTATCTTGACTAATTCGAAAGTTATTCGAGAAAACTCTCTCCATATCTAGTGCCGCCATTTTGACTTTTTCGACCCCTGTGACGTCATCTTTGACCTGACCTGAAAATGACCTTAGTAAAAATTGTAGATCTTGGCCGTGCGTATCCGATGCCGTTTACCGCTTGTCGCTATCTTGCTTCGTTCTCGAGATCTCAGGGGGGGGGGGGCCGAATCGGCCCCCCCCGCCAGTTTCTTGTCCCGGCGGAGCCCGCCAGGAATAGGGTTAAATTCACTCCACTGATGCTGCAATATCAAAAGCCTGAGAAAGCATACAAAATAGGTGACACTAACTTTAGCACTGTCTTCCAAAAAAAGAGAAAATCCATCCATTTATCAGCAAAACTGATTTAATCTATTTCAATTTTCAATTCATGCCCACGTGTCAACCGAATCTCTGTGGACAACTATCTGCTGCTTTCCTTGCTATTTTATGTTAGGCTCTTTTCAAGATATGGATATCGCTAGCAGCGTAAGCAGAAAACATGGTAAGCTTGAAATGTCATTGGGTACTTTTGCGACTTTTACGCATCATCATCATCAATTGAAAATGAGCGAACACTTCTTGATTGTCGCAGCTGCGGCAGGTCGCGATTCTGACCAATTGTATAATAAAACATATATGATCAAGTTTTTATTTTGTTTTTCGTTCGAGTTTTCAGACTTCCTGATTTAGTTTTTATTTTTAATTTGTTTAATTTTGTTTTTCACCTTGATACTTACTAAAAAAACGTATTTATTTGATATACTGTTGTGTATACTACCTAGATGCCGCCACATAAACATAGCGCCGCCGCCATGATCGCAAATTTTGTTGAGAAGGGGTTGGTTTGTTGTGATTTATTTTGACAAATTTATAGACATTTAAAGAAGCTTTCATCGCGAAATACTCTGTAGAATTCCTCGTTACTTACAGTGTGTTTTGTGAGTATCCTTTTAAGGTTCTGTTCGTTAAAAAGCCGTCGGTGAAGGAAAAAAGACTGTGTTGGAATTGTCTCACTATCGCCATATATAAGTGTTAAACTTAATGTAGCCCTGTAGCCCATCATTGTTGAGTGGCTTCTTAGTTTTTGGAGTTGTAGTGCTAAGTAAGTTATTCTGATGACTACATTTTAACTTTTATTAACAAACTAATGATGCTAGAGATTCTCTGATCTTTTTGGTTGCGTAATTTTTATGAAAACCCTCCTATGTGTGACATGATGTGATATTGGATAGTTCTCAAGATTCCCAAAATTCAATATCAAGTAGGTTTTCTTTCACATTGCTTAAATTTGCTTTAGTTTTTGTATTTTCCCAGTGGGTTTTGTTTGCATCAGTTTCCAAATTTTCTTAAATTGACATTAATCGCAAAACCCATAGTGCACAAAGCTCTTGGCCCGGCCCGTCCATAGCCCGTTAACTAATGATATTTGGGGGCCCGGCCCAGCCCGTAGCCCAGCCCGGCCCATGGCCCGTTGGGCTGGCCCGGCCCGTGGCGAACACTGCCCGCCATTCGCTGATCTCGTACATATCAGCGGCCTGTCCGTGCTGCCGCTGCTCACCGTATATCTCCAGTTGTGTGACCGTCCGTCCCAGGTTAGGCAGCTGACTGATGGTGTCGGCAGCCACCCCCTGGAGCGACACTGACAGACCACTCCCGTACCATTCCGGCCACCTCGGCTTCGTCACCTCCGGCCCTGTCGGACAGAGCTGTGTTAGCTGACTGCAGTCGGACAGAGCTGCCGCCAGCTCCCCGCTGCACCACTGACACCAGAGTGTCAGACACTGACACAGCCAGCACTGACAAAGCCGAGCGGCCGCACAGCAATTGTTAGCACCAGCAGTCATATATAGAATGTAAATATGAACATAATAAATATATGCGATAAGTATATGCGTAATAACGTAGTCTATGCAACTACTTACACTTCTCTCATTGGTTGCACTATGTCTATAATCATCCCTCATTGTAAATACTTGCTCACTTATTGTAACAAAGCCTGCGTTCCCGTGCTGGCCGCCTTCGATCGTGGCGCTACCTATACTCTGTATAACCGCCGCGCCTGAGCCGCGGCCAGTCAGTCCCGTCAGTCTGCTCAGACTCGTCGTCAGCGAGCTATCTATATAGTCAGTCAGTGTCAATTGTCGATCAGGCGTGCGTTCGACATCCGGAAAATGAGGGATAATTATCCGGGATCACCGGTAATAATTTGGTATTGCAAGGACTATCGATGCAATAAGTCATATTTTTATATTGCTTTTGCTTCAGTAATGGCTCTTTTACTCATTGGCATGTCCTTTGTGCACGGTGTCAGCCTTAAACACCGAATGATCCCGTTGATCCAGGAAAATTATCCCTGATTTTCCGGATGCCGAATTCGCACTAATACTCAATACGTTTGTTCAGAAATTTGCTGCTTGTGACAATGCAACCATCGCTAGTACCTCAACTTTTAAATCACCCCGTGACGTTACACTAATATTCCACGCATATGCCACAAGCATGGACACTATCGAAGGGCGTGCATTGAACCCCTTCCCCTTCTCACCACAATACGAGTAATATATGTACATGATTAACGATGAAACTTGCTAGTTAAGGCTGATTGGTTCGTCCATTTGCCGTCTTCGCTGACCATTTGCATATACCGGCATTACATGTGTGACCTGCGTTATCTCACCTCTGACATTGAGGCGCCAGAGGCCCTCCGGCAGCTGCCCCCTCAGTCGCGGGAGGTCGGCGGCGGTGACTGATAGGCATCGCAGCTCACGGCACCTGGGCCCAATCTTATAAAGGTTGTGCTACCAAATGGCGTACTATCATTCCACCCCACTCTATTTACGGCACCCTATTCACGCAATCTTATAAAGAGAATAGTATGCTAATTCTATTCACGCCATTTTGCCCACAGTACAAATCAACGCCAGCAGGAAACACCCAACGTGATTGGTCAATGTCTTGTCGCCGTCGCTATTGGAAATTATGCGTACTGTTTGCGAACAGCAAAAGTTATGTGTTTTAATTTTTATTGGGCATTTATTTCTTTTAGAGACACACATATGTGAAATAAACAAATTATTTATGGAAAACGTGATAGCAAAGTATGGAAAACACCAACATGCTTGAAGAATTCTCCTGAAAAGTGGATTGCCGACCAAATAAATTTCAGCGAAGGCATTCTCGCGCTCAGAAAATCGAGTGAATAAAGTGTTTCTTCAACTTATCATTTGCATTTATTTGCTGTTAAGGCATTGCAATAAATTTGTTAAAGAAATATCTAAATAATCATTTAATTATAGCTCGGCTACTCTTTCAGTAATTGAAGTAATGCCGTTGACAATGAAGCTCCTACAATTTGAGCATCAGGATACGTACATTAGCTGGATCAATTCAAGATATAGCTTATTTTCCTTCTTGTCTTCATGAAGATAAAGCTACTAAAATTCGAAGATTACGTACATGAACTGAATTAGGTCAAGTCACAGCTTATTTTCCTTCTTATTCAAGCATAGGTACAGTCCACAGCAGAAGTAATGTGGGGTTTCAGTCATAGGTATGTTCTGCTTCTGAAGCTTAGGAACGATTAACCAGACTACAATGAAACTTTGAATGTAGCTTATATGTATCGTCACCCTTGCAGCTGCAACTTCAGCTATTGACATCTTCTTTTCGATCACTCCGCATTAAACAATCGCCAGTCAAAGCCAACCGTTGAGATTGGTAAAACCCTACATTACTTTAGCGGTGGGCTGTACCTATTACCTAGCCTAAAGCTAAAAAGCAATTCCTCAAAAGATTTAAGTACCCAGTCTACATATCAAAGCTATATCAAGAAAAATACTTGGTTCAGAAGTCAGATCGAGATGCAGGAAGAGAAACAACAGATTGATCACTGATCAGTGACTGTGCCAAACAGAAAGTGAGGAAATACGAATGGTGAGTAGGCATTTATAATTTTTTGACAAACTAAGGTATATCATCATTAATTTAAATATCTAATCAGAAGCCATGAAGTGCCCGTTATTTGTGTCATACGTGAGACGTGAGAATAGGCTAAAGACCCATACCGATTCTATAATGCAGTGGCTGCCGAAAATCTAAGACGGTTACTAATGCTAAAATTCTCTTAAAAATACCCTTTTTATTGGAAAAATAAAGCCATATAACGATGAACACTCGTTTTTATGTGTTTTAGTGTGCATTTAGTTCCTGGAAATACATGTTTTGAAATTGATCGTTGTCTGTCTAATTAAGCATCATTATAGTAAATATGAGTTAATATGTGGAGGATGTTTTAATCTTAGAAATATCATAATGTAAAATATTGCGTACTTATATCATAAAAACATGGAATTTATCTTAAATCAATTAAACTGTCTGAGAAGCTCGTCAAAGTACGCCACAAATTCTGGCGTGAAATGGACGCCGCTGAAACCGCAAACAGCTGATGATTGTCGGTGTTTTGAGATGTGCACAGCTGCTCACGGTTAAAATCAGTTTACGGTATCCTCAAAACCAGCGGCTACCAATACCGTAAAGAGCGTGCCGTGTTTTCGATTTCACAGAGTTTTATAAGATTGCGTACTATATATCCAGCCTTAGAGTGCTGCCATATCCATTTCACGGCGTTTATAAGATTGGGCCCTGGTGAGGGGCTCCAGGCTGCCGGCCGTGTGATCAGTACAATCTGGAAAACACACAGACGCACATACAGACACGATCAGTTAGCTGTAATACATGTCGATATATTGTAACGGTGCTGCTGGGCGGCTTGTCGGTGCACATGTGCCGTGTGAGTGACGTGTGGCTGTAAGCGGCGTGATCGTCCGCCTCGAAGGACGACACCGGGTGGGCAGGTGTATCGTCTCCTCTTTAACGCCTGTCTGATTTCCCACATGGCACTGGCTCCGTCGTCGTGCAGTACAAATTTATTTGAGAGGCTTGCAATTCCCTTACAACATATAGTCTTCACTGCTCGGGGAGGAATGGGTTCAATTTGGAAGGGATGGGATTTGTCACCGGCTGATGGAATTGCTTGGCTTTAAACCCCAGGGCAAGGCCTTCCCATGTTCCCATTTCGTATCCGTTCGATGCCAAGGGCTCTATCCCATCAGAGAAATTTATGCAATTCGAGCGAGAGTGTCTAGCTCCCACTGGTCCTTAATATAGCCATTCATTACTCCCTTTCGGTCGCACACGCGTCATTGATTCGGTCATGCATACATACACCTACGAAGAACATTCGGCTAGACAGACCGACCCTCCCGTTTCCATCTAATCCCTCCAGTGGCGCTGAATTGACATAGTTATATCCCGAGGTGAGTTTATGCCCCGTTTGATACTTATGTGCGTATAGGGAGGTGTTAACCCCTTTAAATCCCTGAATCCTAAGCAAATTGGCACTGGGTGTCCTTCTGACCCCATTTACGTTATTACTCTCTTTCGTTGAAGCTACGTTTCTCACGCACTCCCGGCCACTGCCTGCTCTTCAATCACGTGCACTGCCACAGTGCATACATTTCCATCGACTACCTCTCTCTCGCTCGCGCGCACTGCCACAGTGCGGATAATTTCGCCCAAGCTCAAAGGAAACAACGGTTGTACGCACCTCTGCCGGTCTGTCGACTCGGCGTTGTGGGTGGTCCGGTTGTGCCTCAGTTGAGGGATAAGTTCCTAAATGATAATACTCTCGGCGGAGCCACTCCGCATAACAACTCTACATTTCCAATTCCATCGACCACCTCTCTCTCTCGCGCGCGCGCACTGCCACAGTACGGATGATTTCGCCCAAGCTCAAAGGAAACAGCGGTTGAACGCACCTCTGCCGGTCTGTCGACTCGGTGTTTTGGGTAGTCCGGTTGTGCTTCAGTTGAGGGATAAGTTCCTAAATGTTTATTGTTTATACTCTCGGCGGAGCCACTCCGCGAAACCATAACTCTGTGTTTCTTCTGAACACCTCGGCGGAGCCACTCCGCGACACTATAACTCGGCAACCTTGCCCTCGTCTATCGCTCTTACACTCTTACATATTAGCCCTAGCCCTTCAAAGTCCGGTCGACACGGACGGCTAGCCGCTCGGTGCCTTTGCTATATACTTCATGGGAATACGCAGTAGAATTCATCGAGTCACGGAATACTCATTTTTCCATCTCGCAGTGATGGACAGCGTCAGCAGAGTCAAAACAGGCACAGGGGCCTGGCTCGAACCAGCCTCTTTCCGGCTAGTTGGATTGTCTCTCGGTCTTTAGCCTACTTCGTTGTATGGTTTAGTCCAGTCGCGTCGATATGTGGTACAATCGTTAGGAGCAGGATAGAGAATACAGCAAAGCAAGAGAGAGAGAGAGAGAGAGAGAGAGAGAGAGAGAGAGAGAGAGAGAGAGAGAGAGAGAGAGAGAGAGAGAGAGAGAGAGAGAGAGAGAGAGAGAGAGACAGACAGACAGAGAGAGAGAGGGAGAGGAAAAGAGGGAGAGAGAGAGAGGGAGGGAGAGGAAGAGAGGGAGGGAGAGAGAGAGAGAGAGAGAGAGAGAGGGAGAGAGAGAGAGAGAGAGAGAGAGAGAGGAGAGAGAGAGAGAGAGAGAGAGAGAGAGAGAGAGAGAGAGAGAGAGAGAGAGAGAGAGATCGGATTACGAGGAAAATGGTTATGGGGTGGTCCATTTCGATGTTTCCCCGCACTCGCTCACATTTGGCTAGGTATTGTTGCCCGTCAGACAAATGTCGCCCTTATCGCCCTTGTCATCACTCCTGACCTCCCTTACACTCATGCCGCTAAACTTTCAGGGTTTTATTCACGCAATACACCTCGGAGTAAAATAAACCAAATTCAAGCGCAGACCTCATGATTTACCAGACGCACCATCGCTTCGATTTTGTTCCAAAACAAAAATAACATCGCGCTATCTGTTACCCAAATCTACACACCCGCGCAGCTACCTTCCCATCGCGCAACATAATTCGTCACTTCCGACCAGCCCTGACGCAATGATTCGACAGCGATGCGATTCCATTAAAAACTGAGCCCCCGAGTCCTATCGAATTACCCAATAAATTTACCCAATCAATCCATTATAAATATTCACATCATCACGTTTTGTCTCCCCCCCCCCCAAAAAAAAAAGAAGCTTACATGGTGTTGTCGCTATGTGCCTAATCCTTACGCTCAGCCCGAGAAAGGTAGCTCTGAACCATCAGCCGGTTGGTGCAAATCACGGAGTGAATATGTGAGGGACGGGAGCTGAATGATTGCATGTTGGCAAGGATTGAGCAGACTTCCTTTCTGTGGCAATTCTTACTTGAACGGCGTTGTTGACCAAGCCGGTCACCGAGAGGTCGATGATGATAGCAGTTTGTCCGTTGTCGATGGCTGAGGGCGTGCACTTTCCTCGATCCAGCTCTCGATCACTGCCGCACTGGACCTTCCCTCGTCAGCTGCTGCCCGTCGCGCTCCTCCCGTCGTACTCCATCCTCCGTGCACTGCCGTGTCCTCTGCGCTCCGCCCAGTCGGACTCGATGCTCCGTGCACACCGGTGTCCTGTGCGCTCCTCGGTCTGACTTGATGCTCTGTGCACTCCGGTGCCCTGCGCACTTCTCGGTACCTCCTCCATGACTGTCTCGTTCCTTTATACCCAGATTACTATCGCGTTGGTGTTCCAGGTGTGATAAGCATGGCTAGATAATTCGTCGGTGTGGCGCGATAGGCCTAGTATCTTTATCTGTATGATGACTCATGAGTGGCATCGGTCCTGGTTGTTGACTTTCTCCCAGCTGGTTGTAATTGGGCCGGGTGCAGTGCTTATCACTTTTGCTATCTTCTCGCCTTCTGTCGTGCACACCTTTGTTCTGCTGGGAAGCTGAGGTACCCTGCCCGGCGTCGGCGCTTTATTGCTTGGTTTGGTCGTAATCACGATATCTCGGGTATTGGTTCATATGTATGGTCCGCCATGGTCATTGAACTTCCCAGCTGTTCCTGTTTTGGCCGAACGCTTGTGATATTAGCGAATTCGTCAGTTATTACTCTGTTTGCTGGACGCTCATTTGTCCCAGCTGCCGTCCAGTATCAGAAGTCCCCGACCGTCGGCGTCGCTGCTCGTCAGGTGAATGCCAGATATGGGCATTGGCGTGCCCCACTCTCAGCATGGAACATCTGCTCTTCTGGACGTACATATTTGCACCTCCGATTCCGCAGGGAGGGGTGATTGGAACTTTTGGTGAGCGTCCGTCGGCGGCTGATAACTTCGTCGATGTGAGTGTAATTTTGATGGCTTGACGCCTTCTATTTGCGGCACTTGCGGCATGATACGGCCCGAGGGGTCCCTGCGTCAGCTGTTTCTTGTTTGACATGCTCACACCGGTGTCGATCCACTAGGTCGAGGCGGTGCCGGTGGCGATATCCCAGGCGCAGGTGCAGAGGGTTGGCGCACAGGATGCCGGCCGATTGCGCTTTGGAGAGATAAAGTTCCGTTATGAGCTTTTCCTGTAGATGCGGGCGGGGAGGCGGCAGTGTTTACACCTCTGCAGTGCCAGGTGTAGCCCGTTTTTGGCGTGGCCACCCAATTGGCGTGCGACCGATAAGAGGGGTCGGCGCTACGTCGGGTCCAGGTGGGGTAGGCCATCTGCCGCCTGCGCCCTGTTGACTAGCGTTATCCATGAAAGTGTCGGTAATAGAAGCGCCGTTCTTCTCAGATGAATTCACTTTTGCGTGCTTGGCTTTTAGTCTCATGCCAATATGCATGCCTTATGATTCTGTCAATTCCTGTAAGCTGCGATTTGAGAAAAATGTGGCTTCCGTCACAATATGACAACACGAAAAAACACCTAATAATTCACATGGTTTTATGGACACAGTAGACAATGGTAAAACAGTGCAATTATATGATATATGCAATCAGTTAAGCAAATGCATTGAAGTTCATTGAACAGTGCAACACAATTGTTATGAGTATCATCAACTAACTCTGAACGAATATGTCACTGAGTGAATAGTCCTCCATTTTGGAGCTCAATTAGCTTCATTATTTCGCAAAGCACATTGGCTATGTATCACTTCTGTCTCCATAAGGTCCGACAATGGCACACCGTTACTCGATGTCCGCCATTCGCTGATCTCGTACATATATCAGCGGCCTGTCCGTGCTGCCGCTGCTCACCGTATATCTCCAGTCGTTCGACCGTCCGTCCCAGGTCAGCCAGGTGACTGATGGTGTCGGCAGCCACCCCCTGGAGCGACACTGTCAGACCAATCCCGTACCGTTCCGGCCACCTCGGCTCCGTCACCTCCGGCCCTGTCGGACAGAGCTGTGTCAGCTGACTGCAGTCGGACAGAGCTGCCGCCAGCTCCCCGCTGCACCACTGACACCAGAGTGTCAGACACTGACATAGTCAGCATTGAAACAGACGAGCGGCCGCACAGCAATTTTTTAGCAGCAGCAGTCATATGTAGTCTGTAGAATGTGAATATGAACATAATATGTATATGCGATAAGTATATGCGTAATACAGTTGTGGCCGCCGGTACGGCGTGTTTTTAATTTGGTTGCGTCGAGCCGATCTTGTGACGTCATTTTCGTTCACTCTCACTTCCGTTTCACAATTGTTTACGTTCCCTCGCGTTTTCCTTATTTCCGTTGAATTGATCAGCCCACGAGGGAGAAACGTCAAAACGTACCAGTACCAGTACCAGTACCGTACCTACCAAAGTGCTGAACCAGAGCCACCACGGACAGCTATGGCTGATGCTCGTCGTTGATTTAGTGTCTTTTGTTTTGTTTGCCAATTTGTTATCTTTTATATACATGTAGTTTATTTTATCTTTTGTTTTTCACCACTGGCGTATGAAAGCCGGTTCAGTTTTGACGTATCCCAAGTGGGATGTAGAGTAAATGAATTGTATTGATTTTGTTGCCATCAGTAGTGTTTGGCAAATTCGATTAACCATGTACTTACCCACTGACTCGTATTTGCCCACTGATGGTGCTGCCCTTGACTGACTTGAGTGCTGACCAATGATTGACCAGCTGATTCCTGTTGTTGACCCATTCCGCACTTGCCTGTAGTTAGCACATGGTCTTCAATCCTTTGTCTTGGCTGTGATACCTACCTACCTACCTGATGATGGATGGTCAGAACAGTCAAGACGAGTCGTCTGACGGAGCCAGGGCTCGGAGGACCACAGAGAAGGGTGCACAGTACCAGCTCAGCGTGAAGCAGAAGCTGTACAAGCGTGCACTGAGTTTCGTCCGTGCATCAGGTCAGAGGTTGTGCACAGCAGTATCACAGAATGAAAGTCAGGAGCAAGTCAGAAGTGAGTACGACAAATGGAAAGGGCTCTGCCAAGATCTGGTGGCGGCTGATGAAGGGTTGCGGCTGCTACTACCTCCAGAAGATGTTGTCTACCATGCGGACAGACACTCCAGGCAACTTGAAGAAAATGATGCAGTCTCAGCAAAAGTGATCAAGTTCCTGAGTACTGTTCAACAAGTAGAGGCAGCTGATGATGTGGAACCACAAGACAGTGCGTCCAACCTGTTTGCGACCACCAGAACAGCTCTGTCGACCAGGGTAAGCCGTCAGTCAGGTGACTCGACTGCAAGCTCTGCAAGGCTGAAAGAAATGACAAGACAGGCCGAGTTAGCAACAAGAGCTGCCCTAATGAAGAAAAAACTTGAACTGAACAAGAGAAAACTTGAAATGCAGTATGAAGAAGAAGAGGACAAACTGATGACCGAACTCGCTGTGAGTGAGGCAAGAACAAGAGCGATTGACAAGTTTGAAAGAGAGCTCACCAACGGTGCTGAAGGATGTCGACCTGAACCGGATGCAGCTGCAGAAAGGCTACAAGTGATGCACCAAATGGAACTGAATGATGGTGTAAGAAGAGGCCAAGAAGCAGAGCAAGCCGAAGAAGGTCAACAACTACAAGCGACTGTGGTACGACCCAGTCAAGAAACCGAGCAATCCAGAGTGGCATCAAACCAGAACACAGGTGTGGTTGAAGATCTCGTGAACCTCCTGAGGGAAGAAGTGAGGCAGAATCATCTTCCTTCACTGGAGCCAGATGTTTTCCATGGTGACGTTGGCAAGTTTGATCTCTGGCTCAAGGGCTTTGAGACTTACATCGAGCACAGAACCAGCTCACCGATTGAACGCCTTCACTACCTTGGCAAGTATACTGCAGGAGAAGCCAAGCATGCAATCATGGGATATCTTCAACTTCGCAGTGAAAATGCCTACCAGCAGGCGAAGACCAAGCTCATGGACAGGTATGGAAATGAGTTTGTGAAGGCATCAACACTCAAGAACAGAATCCGTAGCTGGCCTGCCATAAGAAGCGGAGATGGAAAGGGGCTAAGGGAGTTTGCTGACTTCCTGGAGCAGTGCCAAGCTGCATCAAGTGCAGCTGGCCACCTGCGAGTGTTGGATGACCAGCACGAGAACAGCATCATGCTGAAGAAGCTACCAAAGCCTCTTGTTGACCGCTGGAGAAGGTATGTAGACCGGAGGCTCTACGAGCCAGCTGAAGGTGAGACGGCAGGGTTTCCTCGGTTCTGGGAGTTTGTGAGATTCCTGTCCAAGGAAGCCAGAGTTGCCTGTGGACCTGTCCAAGATCCTGTCACACGAGATGAGAAGGAGGGTGGACGTGGAGACAGGAGGGTGGCCAGAGCTCTCCAAACCGGTGCGACTGCAGCTTCAAGAGACGGCGCCCCTCGCTCTGCTACTCATGGCTGTGTTGTGTGTGCTGATGGTGCTTCTGCCGAAACCGTACCTGTCCCTCATCCAGTTGACAAGTGCAAGGTGTTCCTCAGGATGAAGCTGAAGGAGCGACAAGCAGCTGTCATGAGGCATGGTCTGTGCCGAGGATGCCTGAAGCGGGGTCACATCTGGCGATCCTGTCAGAAGAAGCAGAACTGTGAGACCTGCGGAAGAAGGCACCCAACCGCTCTACATGATGAGACCTTCACTGCACCAGCCTCAGTCGGACAGGACAAGCAGCAAGGAATAAGGAGACAAGCTGGATGCGAAGCAGGTCAGCCCAGAGTGGAAGCCACATCTCTTTGTGTGGCGTCTGAGGCTGGAGACGGGCGTCCATGCTGCATCCATTCTATGATCATTCCTGTGTATGTCCACCACAAGTCTAATCCTGACATGAAGGTCCTGGTCTATGCAGTCCTGGACCCCCAGTCCGATGCGTGTTTTGTATCAGACTCAACCTGCGCAGCACTGGGTGCCAAAGGTCAGCAAGTTTCGTTGGAGCTGAAGACTGTGAGTGGACCATCTGTGGTGTCAAGCTCAGCTGTCCAGGATCTGGTGATGGAGTCGACACAAGGTGACTGCACTGTCGAACTCCCACAGTGCTTCTCAAGAGAGGCGATACCGGCAGACAGGTCCTGCATCCCGAGACGGAAGACAGCTAGGATGTGGCCACATCTTCAGTCCATTGCTGACGAGTTGCCTCTCCACTACCCAACTGCAGAGATCGGACTGCTCATCGGGGCAAACTGCCCCAAGGCAGTGAAGCCAAGAGATGTTGTCACTGGAGAGGATGATGACCCCTGGGCTGTGAGAAGTGCTCTGGGATGGGGCATTGTCGGCCCAGTGTCTGACTCCAGGACAAGCATGACTGCCTGCCAGTACGTGGACGCTGGTAGTGGCGAGCGAAGGCTGTGTCACTTCGCTTTCAGAACTGCTGCCCGAGAGATGACGCCTATGCAAGTGGCTCAGCTGTTCGAGCAAGACTTCAGAGATACCAAGATGGACAAACCGCAGTCTGTGGAGGACAGATTGTTTCTCAATAAGATGACGGAAGGAACTCGTCAGAGGGAAGATGGGCATTTCGAGATGCCTCTCCCCCTGAAAGAAGATGTGAGACTGCCCAACAACAAGGCCGTTGCCATGCAGCGCCTGAAAGGACTCAAATCGAAGTTGGTCCGGAACGAAGCCTTCAGACGTGACTACACGACCTTCATGGAGGCTACCGTGGCCAACGGACATGCAGAGAAGGTCCCAGAAGGTCAGCTGCGGCTGGACAATGGAAGGGTCTGGTACCTGCCGCACCACGGGGTGTACCACCCCAAGAAACCCGGTAAAATTCGCGTCGTATTTGACTGCAGCGCGGAATTCGGTGGGCAGGTCCTGAACAACCATCTTCTCCAGGGACCAGACATGACTAACAGTCTAACCGGCATACTCTGTCGGTTTCGAAAGAACCAGGTAGCCGTGACTTGCGACATACAAGGCATGTTCAACCAGGTGGGAGTAGACACAAGAGATCGGGACTTTCTGAGGTTCATGTGGTGGGAGAACGTAAATCTGAAACAGGCACCACAGGAGTACCGAATGACTACCCACCTGTTTGGAGCAAGGTCATCACCCGCGTGCGCCATGTTCGCGCTCAGGAAGACTGCTGACATGTACGAAGACGCAGAAGGAAAAGAAGCAGCCGAGTTTGTGAGAAATAATTTTTACATTGATGATGGTCTGACCTCTGTTGACAGTGAAGATGAAGCCATCAACCTAATCGACTCAACTCGGAAAATGTGTGCCCGTGGCGGGTTCACCCTTCACAAGCTGCTCTCCAACAGCGTGAAGGTGCTGGAGTCGGTGTCACCCGAGAGCCGCTGCTCAGAGCTGCAGAGTCTCGATGTTGGCACGGTGTGTCTGCCAGTCCAGCGAGCTCTGGGTGTCGAGTGGGACACCGAGACAGATGTTCTGCAGTTCAGTGTACAACCCTGCAAGAAGCCATCGACGAGAAGGGGGATCTTGTCCACAGTAAGCTCAGTGTTCGATCCCCTAGGCTTTGTCTCGCCTTTCATCCTCAGGGGTAAGCAGATCGTGAAGGAGCTCTGCCGCGACGGTTTCGGTTGGGACGATCCCGTTCCAGATGATATCCTGACGCGCTGGGGCGACTGGACTTCTCAGCTCGAGGCACTGTCGTCACTGCGCATCCCAAGGTGCTACAGGACGAGCGACTTCGGCCTCGTGAAGCGGACAGAGCTACATCACTTCTCAGACGCCTGTACGCACGGCTATGGGCAGTGCAGCTACCTGCGTCTCATTGATGAGCAGGATCGGGTCTGCTGCAGGCTCGTGATGAGCAAGGCCCGAGTCACTCCTTCGAAACCCGTGACGGTGCCCAGACTCGAGCTCACTGCTGCCCTGACCTCGGTCCAGGTGAGCTGCTTTCTCCGAGAAGAGCTGGACATCGATGACCTGACAGAGTACTTCTGGACAGACAGCCGAGTGGTCCTCGGCTACATCTCGAACGACGCCAGAAGGTTCCATGTCTTTGTAGGGAACCGAGTGCAGCAGATCAGGGAGCACACCGAAAAGGACCAGTGGCTGCACGTGGAGACAAAGTTGAACCCAGCTGACCTGGCCTCCAGGGGCGCGAGTGCTGCAGAGTTGGAGAGCAGTGAGCTGTGGTGGAATGGACCTCCGTTTCCCAGAAGCACCGACCCGCTGCCGGGACGAGATCTTGACACGACTCTGGACCAGAAAGATCCTGAGGTGAGACGCGCGGCTCAGACCGCCGTGACACTTCAGACGATCACGTCAGAGACGGTTCGCTTTGCAAGTTTGACGGAAAGACTTGAACGCTTTTCAGACTGGCACCGAGCCAAGAGAGCAGTCGCACTCTGCCTCAGATACAAGGACGCACTCCTAGGGCGGCGTTCGTCAGCTGACCGCCCGTTGACTGTCACAGAGCTTGAAGAAGCCGAAACTGTGATAGTACGAGCTGTGCAGGAAGAAACGTTTACAGAGGAGCTGAGGACGCTGAGTTCGAAGATGACGGCGTCAGAGCCGTGTGAAACAGCTACAAAGGCCATCAAGAAAACAAGCAAACTGCACAGATTGGACCCCTACGTCAATGAAAATGGAGTGATCTGCGTCGGCGGCAGGATCAGGAGAGCGGACCTGCCGGCGAGTCAGCTACACCCGGTGGTACTCCCACGAGCAGGTCACGTTACCCGCCTCGTCATTGACCACTGTCACAAGAGAGCTCATCACCCCGGACGAGGAATGACGATCGCCGAAATCCGCTCAGCAGGATTCTGGATCGTTGGCGTCAGAGGCGCCGTGTCCCGTCACATTCTGCACTGTGTGATGTGTAAGAGAATCCGCGGCACCTTTCAGGGACAGAAGATGTCCGACCTGCCTGAGGAGCGTCTAGTGCCGTCTGAGCCATTCACTTACAGCGGCGTAGACCTCTTCGGTCCGTTCTATGGGCGCAGTGAACTGAAGAGGTGGGGAGTCATGTTCACCTGCCTCGCTTCAAGAGCGATACACATCGAGACGGTGAACTCTCTCTCCACAGATTCGTTTCTGAACGCTTTCAGAAGGTTTGTTGGACGACGAGGCCCTGTAAGGACTCTACGCTGTGACAGAGGAACGAACTTTGTCGGAGGGAAAGCAGCTATGGAAGCCGCTTTGGACGAAATGGACGCGGGAGAGATTCAGCGAGAACTGCTGAAGAACAACTGTGACTGGGTCGACTTCCAGATGAATGCTCCCTGTGCTAGCCACATGGGCGGCATCTGGGAACGTATGATCCGCTCCGCTCGAGCAGCGTTGGACGCTGTGTTGAAAACCCACGCCGAGCAGATGGACGACGAAGTGCTGCGGACAGTGATGGTGGAAGTGGAGGCGGTAATCAACAGCCGTCCTAAACCTTTCCCAGAGATGACCCAAGTAGATGTAGTAGAACCTCTGACCCCAAACCAGATACTAACACAAAAGACGAAAAGGGTACTCCCGCCCCCCGGTAGATTCTTACCTGTAGATGTGTACTGCCGCCAGCGATGGCGCAGGGTTCAGTATTTAACTAACCTCTTCTGGAGCAGATGGATGGCAGAGGTACTGCCGACGCTACAAGAACGCCGGCGCTGGGCGAGAGAGCAGCGCGGGGTGGAACCTGGCGATGTCGTCCTCATGGCTGAACCCGACTCGCCGCGTAGCAGCTGGCCCCTGGCGAGGGTTCTGCAGTCGCTCCCCAGCAGAGACGGACTGGTCAGGAAGGTTCGGATCGTGTCCGGCGGGAGAGAGCTGGAGAGGCCCGTACACCAGCTGGTGATGCTCGTACGACAGACGGCGGCGAACGGCGAGCACGGCCAGCCGTCCGCTCGCCGAACGGAAAAGTGAGTTTCCCGGCGGCGACGGGGAGGCGCGGCCGCGGGCCGCGGCAACATGGACGACCGGACTTCAGATGGAGGTTCGCGGCGGCAACGGGGAGGTGCAGCCGCGAGCAGTGCGGTTAGCGTCCAGTGAGCGCCGACCGAGCGCCGAGTGGACGTCGTGAGTGCTCGGCGGCGAAGGGATGGTGCGATCACGGGCGGCCTGGGCGGCCCGTGTGGCTGAACGGACGGTGGATGACGTTCAACGCTGTGGACGAGGAGGCGCGTTTCGAGCGGCTCTCTGAGCCATCAACCAGGCGCTGGACTACTGGCGTTCACAGCTGTAGATGAGGAGGCGCGGTTCGAGTGAGTGGCGCCCTTCGAGCGCCAGCCGGGCGCTAGACTGACGTTTACCGCTGGCGAGGAAGCAGCGATGGTGCCGAGAGCGCTCTGTGATTGGAAAATGCATCGTATGGGTGATGGGTAAATCACTGCAAAGTGAGTGATTTAGAGGAGGCGTGTGGCCGCCGGTACAGCGTGTTTTTAATTTGGTTGCGTCGAGCCGATCTTGTGACGTCATTTTCGTTCACTCTCACTTCCGTTTCACAATTGTTTACGTTCCCTCGCGTTTTCCTTATTTCCGTTGAATTGATCAGCCCACGAGGGAGAAACGTCAAAACGTACCAGTACCAGTACCAGTACCGTACCTACCAAAGTGCTGAACCAGAGCCACCACGGACAGCTATGGCTGATGCTCGTCGTTGATTTAGTGTCTTTTGTTTTGTTTGCCAATTTGTTATCTTTTATATACATGTAGTTTATTTTCTCTTTTGTTTTTCACCACTGGCGTATGAAAGCCGGTTCAACAGTAGTCTATGAAACTTCTTATGCTACTCTCATTGGTTGCACTATATCTAATAATCATTCCCCATTGAAATACTTGCTCTCTAATCGTAACAATGCCTGCATTCCTGTGCTGGCCGCCTTCGATCGTGGCGCCACCTATACTCTGTATAACCACCGCGCCAGGGCCGCGGCCAGTCAGTCTCGTCAGTCTCCTCAGACTCGTCGTCAGCGAGCTCTCTGTGTAGTCTGTCAGTGTCAGTTGTCGATCAGGCGTGCGTTCGACATCCGGAAAATGAGGGATAATTATCCGGGATCACCAGTAATAAATTGGTATTGCAAGGACTATCGATGCAATAAGTCATATTTTTATATTGCCTTTGCCTCAGTAATGGCTCTTTTACTCATTGGCATGTGCGATGTGCACGGTGTCAGCCTAAAACACCGAATGATCCCGTTGATCCCGGAAAATTATCCCTGATTTTCCGGATGCCGAATTCGCACTAATACTCAATACGTTTGTTCGGAAATTTGCTGCTTGTGACAATGCAACTATCGCTAGTACCTCAACTTTTAACCCTATTAGTGGCAGGGGGGGGGGGTGTTTTTATCCACCCCTCAGGTTTTTCGGGAATATCTCCGAAACCGCTGAAGCTACGACGCTGAAATTTTCTGACTTCTCCTAAAACTAAATTGGGCACATTCCCTGAAAATTTCAAATTCATACCTTTACCAGGGGCGGCTCCAGAGCACTGGGAATTGGGGGGTCCTATTCGTGAAGCGAGTCATTTGGGGCGAAGATCACGATGCTGATGTATTATAGCTATATACACCAGTTTTACGAACATTGAATGAAAGGTATCATGTGATAACATATACAAAGTTATTGTGCATCCTCTTTTGACACGTTTTTGCCATAATAGGCGGATCCAGGCGTCCAAAAAGGGGGGTCATGTTTTACCTCCCAACATAGGTGCCCTGACACCGCCTATGCATGACCAATACAATTGTAGTCGTTTTCTCATAAGAAAATTGTAACATAACAAGACCATTGCCACCCTTTTTAGAAACAGTACCAACAAAAACCTTATTTACTATACTTTTTGTGTACCCCCAATCTCAATGATCTGTATCCGCCCATGATTTTTGAAAATGCATATTTTTAGGATCCATGTGAATTCCTGGTTCATTCTCTATCGATCGGCAAAAGTTGCGCTAAGATTGGTTCAGAAACCTGCCCGTGATAAACAGTCTAAAATGTATCTGCAATTTGCCCGTTTTTACTCCCCTCTACTATTGACATTTTTTAATTTTTTTTTTAGAAATGTAGAGCACGTTGAGCGAAATCGAATGCCGTTTGAATTTTGAAAATCGGCCCGTTAGATCTCGAGATATCAAGGGGGGGTCGTAAACAGCCCCCCCTGCCACTAATAGGGGTAGCCAGGAGCCTGCCACTAATAGGGTTAAATCACTCCGTGACGTTACACTAATATTCCACGCATATGCCACAAGCATGGACACTATCGAAGGGCATGCATTGAACCCCTCCCCCCTCTCACCACAATACGAGTAATATACACGATTAACGACGAAACTTTCTAGTTGAGGCTGATCAGTTCGTCTATTTGCCGTCTCCCCTGTTCATTTGCATATACCGGCATTACATGTGTGATCTGAGGTATATCACCTATGACATTGAGGCGCCAGAGGCCCTCCGGCAGCTGCCCCCTCAGTCGCGGAAGGTCGGCGGCGGTGACTGATAAGCATAGCAGCTCAGGGCACCTGGTGAGGGGCTCCAGGCTGCCGGCCGTGTGATCAGTACAATCTGGAAAACACGCAGACACACATACAGACAGGATCAGTTAGCTGTAATACATGTCGATATATGACAAAACGAAAAACACCTAATAATTCACATAGTTTTATGGACACAGTAGACAATGGTAAAACAGTGCTATTACATATATGATATATGCAATGTTAAGCAAATGCATTGAACTTCATTGAACAGTGCAACACAATTGTTATGAGTATGATCAAATAACTCTGAACGAATATGTCACTGAGTGAACAGTCCTCCATTTTGGAGCTCAATTGACTTCATTATTTCTCAAAGCACATTGGCTATGTATTACACCTGTTTCCATGATGTCCGACAACGGCACACCGTTACTCGATGTCCGCCATTCGCTGAGCCCGTATATCAGCGGCCTGTCCGTGCTGTCGCTGCTCACCGTATATCTCCAGTCGGTTGACCGTCCGTCCCAGGTCAGCCAGGTGACTGATGGTGTCGGCAGCCACCCCCTGGAGCGACACTGACAGACCGCCCCTGCACGGGGACCGTACCGGCCACCTCGGCTCCGTCACCTCCGGCCCTGTCGGACAGAGCTGTGTCAGCTGACTGCAGTCGGACAGAGCTGCCGCCAGCTCCCTGCTGCACCACTGACACCAGAGTGTCAGACACTGACATAGTCAGCATTGAAACAGCCGAGTGGCCGCACAGCAATTTTTAGCACCAGCAGTCATATGTAGAATGTGAATATGAACATAATAATTATATGCGATAAGTATATGCGTAATACAGTAGTCTATGAAACTACTTATACTACTCTCATTGGTTGCACTGAGTCTATAATCATCCCTCATTGGAAATAACTGCTCACTAAATTGTAGCAATGCCTGCATTCCTGTGCTGGCCGCCTTCGATCGTGGCGCCACCTATACTCTGTATAACCGCCGCGCCTGAGCCACGGCCAGTCAGTCTCGTCAGTCTGCTCAGACTCGTCGTCAGCGAACTCTCTATGTATGTAGTCTACCAGTGTCAGTCGTCGTGTCAGACTCATTACTTTTGTTTTGAACTTTGTCGCTTGTTACAATGCAACTGTTGTCAGTAGGTACGTCCAGGGGCGTCGCCACGGATTTTTGAGTGGGGGGGTCGGGTTTCTAGTCTTCACCCGATGGGTAGGGGTGTTTTTTTTGCCACACTTCCCAGTTTTGTGCGTGCGTATGTGTGTGTGTGCGTGTGTAACAAATCGGCGCGCAGCGCCGCCAAATTTGGTATAACCTATTAGGTAGGTATACCTACCTACATCACTTGCGTAAAAATTATCACTGGTCACTTAAGGTCAGGTCGCCATGTCAAGTTCAGTTATACGGTATACCTCTATAAAAACTTTCCCCTCTCGCCATTCTTGTAGCTTTTCTCCCAGAACTTTGAAATTTGGTACACTGTATAGGTACCTATAATGTATGGGGTTACATTATAGGTACAAGAATGGCGTCAGCAATTCATGTCAGCAATTCGTGTCAGCAATTCATGATTCTAACTGAGGATTTACATCTATGATCTGAAGGCAGGTCAAATACGTGACCTCATCATTAGAAAATAATGAGAAATTAGAAAAAGCACGAATGCCTCCTGCTTTGAAAAAGTTCGTCAGAAACGCAAAATATCTTTGGAGCCATGACAAATCAGCTCATCATTGCCAGGGACAGGGTGCAACTTATGGCGAGTGATGACTCGAAAGGTCATTAGTGGACATGTCCATCGATGGCCACCAGCATTTTTTTTTTTCTACAACTTTTGACGAAGACGCGGTAGAGCGATGACAGCACCTGGAAGGTGTTCACTGTTCAGCTCAACAACACGGATCCATTCATATGCAGCAGGAGGTCCTTTTTCGATCAGGACATAACGTTGACCTGAGGTCGTTTTAACGTTAATTCTGAATGGTCAAATTTTAACTCATGTGACGCGTCTCAAAGAGATCAAGACGGTGGTGACAAGACAACATATGTACATACCATACAAATTCACGGAATCGAAAGTTATTGCAAAGCAGATGTTTCGGCAGAATCTGTCCAGTTAGCCGTTTGCCTTCTTATGGGCCAAACATAGACCTGAGATGAAATCTAACGCGAAGCTAGCGAAAGAGCGTTAAAAGAGCTATCGAAGAGTTTTCTGCTTCACTGTAGCCCTTCTATTGGTGGTTTCCCAGTCGCTAACGTATAACGTATACTAAACTAACGCTAAGGCATGCTTTCGACCCCTGATCGATCTACAGGTTTGCGGAAAAAAGAGCATGCTGCCCGTGACGAGAGAAAGCCGATGATACCCATTTACAAGTTTTCGGGTCATCTCAGGACTCAGGTCATCGCCAATAAGTAGAGAAACTCGGGACCTGCTAGAACTTAACGAATGTAAGTTGTGATGGTTTTTCGAGGTTCTGATTACGAATGTTATCTTAGTTTTGAACGAAGATGATGACTCCATGCATTTGCGGGGTAGATCAGGTCAGGTCAGATCGACCAGTACCTAATAGTGGATGACCACCACCGATTGCTTCCTAGCATGTTATATGAATAAGCAACACAACTACTTCTTAAATGTTCAGATGGGCGCTAAGTTCAAAATCAGCTCCAAAAACTACCCTATCAATTAAAAGGACGTTATGAAAAAGTGAACTAAGGTCATCTTTATTTGAATCAGGGATATCTATTTATTTTAAGTAGGTGATAAACTCGAGCGCACCGGAAGTTTTGTTGCAATCGGCTCCTTTTTGCGCGACTTCTTTGCGAAAGCCCGAGACGGTTCCATCTGACTCCCTTTCCCCTACATGTGCACTGTACAGCTAGTTGTGACGGTAGCCATGGGGCTGAGGCTAGTTTGTAGTTTTGTAGTTAGGTACTGATCCGACGAATCGACTGCGACCATTTTTTTTTTTTTTAACGATCAGACGAACGCTCGGGGCAGTTTTGGCGCGTCCAATCCTTTGAGGGATAAAAAGGTACTAGGATGGGGGCTTCTTAAAAACATTGTTGTGCTGGTGTTCCCCGCCCACAGCTAATTGACCTTTAGGTAATTGGCTAATTGGCTTTAGGGAGCTCTTGAAGCGATTTTGAATCTGATGTATTTGTTGGTGTTGCTGACGCCTGCTTCACTGACATAAAAGCTAAAAAAGCATACTCAGTATCGCAAAAAGTGGGGGGGTCGACACCCCCAGTTTTCAAGAGTGGGGGGGTCACGACCCCCCCCGACCCCCCCGTCGGCGACGCCCCTGGGTACGTCAGTTTTTAAATCACCCCGTGACGTTACACTAGTGATGGGCACTCGTAACTTGACCCGAACTTCGATAACAATAATTCCTTTTTCGAGGTCAGCGACTTCGATAACACCTTTCCATGCTTCTATCCTCAGGATACGGAAATCCTTCTCCTCCACGCCGCAACCCCCCTCCGGGCTGGACAGGCAACTTTATCTCATGCGGGCTGCTCCCTTGGAGCGGCACCGCTGCTCCCGAGGGAGCGCACCCCGTAGCCGGGTGCAGTGAGTACCTTGGGGCTGGTCGGCCTGTTCTTCGGGATGGGCTCAGCCCCGGTGACTCACTAGGATGCCTGCCCAGACCAATGTCTCCCCCTTATTCCTATCATCCCTCCGGCTCTGAAATGGTCTCGTCAGACCGAAAGGGCCTAACCCAACAAAAAAAAAAAAAACTTCGATAACACCCTTCCATGCTTCTATCCTCAGGATACGGAAATCCTTCTCCTCCACGCCGCAACTCCCCTCCGGACTGGACAGACATCTTTGTCTCATGCGGGCTGCTCCCTTGGAGCGGCACCGCTGCTCCCGAGGGGGCGTACCTCGTAGCCGGGTGCAGTGAGTGCCTTGGGGCTGGGTGGGCCCGGTGGCCTGTCCTCTGGACGGGCTCAGCCCCGGCGACTCACTAGGGTGCCTGCCCAGACCAATGTCTCCCCCTATATCCTATCATCCTCCCGGCTCTGAAATGGTCTTATGGGACCGAAAGGGCCTAACCCAACAAAACAAACATAAAAACTTCGATAACGGTAATTCGATGACCAAATCGGTCACTTCGATAACGCGATAACTATCACTTCAAAACAGAAAGAGATCGAAAGGATAACATATTTGAAAGGAATAAGCTTCTAATTAATATTTAACCCATTCGAGAGAGAAAATATATGAAAAATTGACCTCACCTCGACATTTAAAATTATTTGAATAGCCAAATATTACTGTATTGATATTTCGACCAACAGGTCTTCTTCAGAATAAGACAGTGTACACAAGTGTACGAGAACGAGAATACAATAATTGATGCAGCAGACTTATTCCCGCGGTTTTCAAATTCAAAAATTAGCGCGGTTTATCTCGCGCTCATAAAACAGTGGTACAACCTTTTTAACAACTTCAAAATATCACAGAATATGCATGAAAACACATCGCTTGACACATCGAGTTCAAAGGTCAACACTCCAAAGTCAAAGGTCAAAGTACTAGGTTCAAATGCCAGACAAGAAGGTCGAGTTCAAGGTTAGAGTTCAACGTATCCATGACCATCAAGGTCAAACCATAGCCAGATAATGTAAATTATACAATGTACACATATATACAGATCTTCATTCACACTGATTGTTCACAAGTCCAGTAAAGCGCATTACAAATTTAGCAATACAAAATTGGCCATAGGAAGCATTTGACATTTCCACGATCACACTTCATACATTTCCAAATCTTCACTCACCCACATTTATATCTACATGATAGGCCATGAGGACACATTTGAGTTTAGCCTTGGGTCAAGCTGCCTGATGAGTAGTGATTCCGCTATTTTGCGGTCAGGATGGTCTCTTGCCCGGTACAAAACTTCAACATCTATGTGTGTGAGGTTGCCTGTAGTCTGTGGGTGACAGGTACGAAAATGGTCTCCTAAGGGTGTATCCTGTTTTTGGCTCGTCATATCACGTAAATGTTCATTGAACCGCAGCCTCAAGGGCCTTTTCGTTTCCCCAATGTACTCCATTTGACCTACATCAGAAGCACAAAGTTTGCATTTTAGCCTATAAACTACGTTTTTTTTGTGTGCATAGTCCGCGAAAATCTGTCTTACATAGATTACATCTGTTGCCGCCCGGGCATTGAGGTTTGGAAAAGGCCGACCGCACTAACTGTTTCTTTAACTTTTTATCATTACGCCATGCTACTTTCACGTCCAGCCCCGATTTCTTGACCACTTTTTTCACCTTGCATAGCAAATCCTCATCGATGTACGGTAAGGTAAGGAAGCCATCCTCCCCCAACGTCTGTTTCGGTGCCCTACCCTTTGACCTCGCTTGTCTGACCTGCCTTAGAAGTTTTTTCAACAGCTGTGCCGAATAACCATTACCCAGTAGCAATGCCCTAATCTTGCTCACTCCAGATTCTGCCTTACTTGTGCTGGAAGCATTGTTGTAGGCTCTATGGAACATGTTCCTAATCATGCTATGCTTAGTAGCTGAGGGGTGTGCTGAGGTAGCATGTAACACTATGCCCGAGTTCGTTGGTTTGATATACAGTTCCGTCTCCAGTTTGGCCCTACCTGCCTGGGATGTCTCGATAGTAACCAAAGTGTCCAAAAAGGGCACCCCTTTGTTATCTTTAGTGAAGTCCAAGGTGAAAGCTAGATTTGGATGTATGCTGTTCAGATAGTCTACAAAGCCTAACAGCGCCTCCTCCCCATGTATCCAAATGCCTGCATAGTCGTCTATATATCTTACCAGAAACTCAGGTTTCAGAGCTGCGTTTCCGAGAGCCTGCTGTTCAAACCTATCCAGAAAAATGATGGCTAAAGGTGGCGCACACGGGTTTCCCATGGCTATGCCTAGTTTCTGCCTATAGTAGCTATCCCCGAACGAAAACACATTATTGTTTAGGCACTGGTCCAAGAGGGCACAAATATCATCGTACGTTAAACCAAAAGTGTCAATATCCTTGCCATGAGCTAACAGTTTTTCTCTAACCGCTTCTATGGCTTCTCCTATCGGAATGCTACCGTAGAGATTCACTACGTCTACACTAAAGAAAATGGCGCCCTCAGTGAGTGGGTGGGTTCGGCAGTGGTCTGCCGCACGAGACAGGAAGTCCCTGGTGTCCTTGAGGTGAGTGGGAACAAACGCTAGAAGCTGCTTTAGTATTTTCTCCAGCAGGCAGGAAGTTTTCTCTGTGGGACCCCCTGAGGCAGAAACAACTGGTCGAAGTGGGACAGTGGGCTTGTGGTCTTTAGGTAAGCCATAAAACACCGGCGTCCTACTGTGCATGGGTGTGAGCTCCTCAACTACTTTATCAGGCAGCTTGCCCTTAGCTAACGTTTTGAAAACCTGTTTTGTTTTGGCCTCAACCTGAGCTACTGGATTTTTCTCAAGTTTTTCATAGTTTTGCACATCATTAAATATCACTTCTGCCTTACTTTTGTAGGTGTCCCTGTCTATCAGAGCAAAACCTTTACATTTGTCACTTTGTTTCACGATGACGTCCTCATTCTTTGATAACCCTTTAACGAACTGAGCTTCATCCTGTGAAATGTTGCTATCCTTAAGCTTATGTCCCTTGTAAATCCGCACTACATCTCTCTTTAGCTTATGAAGAGTACACTCTACTTCCCTACTCGAAGGAGGTGGGAACCTCTTACTGGTGTCTGGGAAGCGGAAGTTGAACGTGGCGGTGTTGCCACATCCCTGACGTTCATCCAGGCCGTGGTCTTCCCCTTGTTGTTCCGCTGCGTCTGCGTCGCGCTGCACTTCCGCTGCGAGCTGCTGCACTTCCGGTCCCGGTGCTGGTGCTTCCTCTGGGCGTGGCGGGGGGCTAGCGTCGTCTTCTGTTGTGCTCCGTGTGACCCGCCCAGTTACGGGGGCCTCGGGGCGGGGGTCGTCTGCCGGTGAAGTAGCTGGCTGGCGTACAATATCCGCTGTAGCAGCTGCGCTGGTAGTCTGGAGAGAGCCTCCAACTTGCTTCCGTCGCTGAATGTCGTCCTTCCATCGTTTATCATATGCTAATCTCTCGACACTCTTCTCAACTTCAAGGAGTACGTGTTTAGAGACTTGTTGCGTCACCGCAAAGTTTGGTCCTTTGGCTAGGATGTTCAACTGTTTTTGCTCCAAATCAATTGAAGAGATGTTGTTGACCCGCTTGGTGTTGGCATCACGGATGGGAGCAGCCGTCTCGGTGACATCCTCCTCGGCGTCAAGGCCACGGAAGGTGTTCTGTTCATGCCGTAGATGGCAAAACTTCCTCACCAGCCTTGGGCGATTTTCCCTCACCGTGATGTCGAATACCATGTTACACGTCTGGGCCAGTTCTGTTACCTTCTCCTCCGTTAAGAGCGAAGAAACTTCGTTTCTTAAATAGTCTTTCCTTCTTTCCAGGTATGCTTTGTGGCGAAAAGTTTCGGCGATGGCCTCGTTCAGTAGGGAAGAAGCAAAAGAATGGCATCTACCCAAAACTCGATCATTGTTTGCAAAAGCCTTGCTGACTGGCTTCAAAGAATCTTGTATAAATCTGGGAATAAGGTTGTTTCGTCTGCATGCGGTCAAAAATTCTATTCTCATGAGAGTTTTCGCGAGTTTTTCAGGTGTCTTTAGAGTTTCGATGAGCACTCGTTGTCGGTCAATGCTTGTCTCTTCAGAACTTATTCTTTGGAGCGCTCTTGCGAGGAACATTATGAATATTAGAGAGAGAAAATATATGAAAAATTGACCTCTCCTCGACATTTAAAATTATTTGAATAGCCAAATATTACTGTATTGATATTTCGACCAACAGTTCTTCTTCAGAATAAGACAGAACTGTCTTTTTCTGACAGTTTATTTGTCTTATTATTCTGTCTTATTTAACCCATTCGCTCATACAACACTATGACTAGTACTACCCAGCTGCTTACACGAAAGGAAGGCTTAGAACAGTGAAAATGTGAATTTTCTCGTACAAACAAACAAACGTACCTACAAACAAAAATTGAATGCTTAGCTTTGGCGACGGAGCTTGTTGGCCGAAAGACATTCCAAATAGCATTTTTCAGTGCTCAATCAACAAAACTGCTATCTCAGTTCAAAATCCCATGTTGAAGGTGAACTATTCCCTTTAATACCCTTGCGTCGTATTTGATGAAGGTTTCGTTATCGATTGACTGAAACGGGGACCTCGATAACGCTATTCGATAACGATAATCAATAACGATAAGCTTGAAAAAAACGTTATCGTCGATAACGACTTTGATAATCGTTATCGATGGGAGTTATCCAAGTGCCCACCACTGCGTTACACGACCTTATATCCATGCATGCGCTACAAGCATGGCCATGCACATATGTAATTACACGCATTACACTCCCCCCCTCCTCCCACTATACAATAATGTACACGATCATCGCTGGAATTTGCTAGTTCAGGTTAATCAGTTCGTCCATTTGCCGTCTCCGATGTCAATTTGCATAAGGGTCATTCCATGTGTGATCTGCGTTATCTCACCTCTGACATTGAGGCGCTCGAGGCCCTCCGGCTGCTGCCCCCTCAGTCGCGGGAGGTCGGCGGCGGAGACTGACAGGCGTTTCACAGTCTCCCGTGAGCTCCGCAGCTCCGTCAGCTCGCTGTCACCGACTCCGGCCGGAAGGATAACAGTGTTTGGCTCCACCCTGATGATGGCACCACGAAGTTGACTTGGAATAGTAGTCATTTGTGCTGGAAAGGTGATCGAACCAATGTCAGGCATTAGTCTAGCTCAAACAGAAGTGTATGTACACTTACTAGTGATGTCAATCGGATACCAACTCTTTGGTATACCGATACCAAACCGATAAAAACTTGGTATTTGGTATTTCAATCCTAATGTTTTTGGTATTTTATTGGCATCAGGAAATATAAACAAGGTATAAGAGGTTGGGAATTCGGTAAAAAGTTGGTATTTTCTTCATAATTCCTAAGTTGGTTCGGTATCGGCATTTTCCAATAGCTTTGGTTCGTATTTGGTTTGGTATCGGCATGGATGATATAACACTGAATTGGTGTCTCGTGGAAATTAACATTGGGATCCGCGACATTGGGATCAGGCCTGCCATCTAGCGAGAGAATTATCGTAAGTTAGGAGCAAGCCGAGTGAACGCCATCTCTCAGCATTATGACACACGTGGGTGTGATGTGTTAGTTGGCTTGAAGTGTATATTCCCACGAGTTGGAGGTAATCTTACTGGACTTGAGACGATAAAAAATGTCTTAAATGCTTGAAAGCAAAAAATGTCATGCAACATTAGGTAATAACGAAAATAAAATGCGTAAGACGGTGTGTAGGTATTGAAACGCCCAGTCCCATCGGCTTGTACGACCTTTTCAATGGTCATTTACTCACAATAGTACAGCAGTTTGACAATATGTCATACATATTTGGTAGGCTTATTCCTTCTTCTCCGAATTTCGCTCGATTTTCTTCATCTTAGTTAATTGTTACGGCACGTGCCACGTGCCAACTTAGGGGCGTCGAAATTGTTCCACATAAAGTAACTCCGCAATGGCTGGGCCCATTACAGTAAAACTTCGTCAATAGTTAGGCACCCAGTGGCCAATGCATTTCCATTTGTCACTATGAGGGTGCTACTGCACGTGCGCACGTGCGGGGTGCCGCTTCCATATCTCAAGAACGGCTGGGCGGATAACACTCAAACTTGGTACACAAATGTCACATCGATGCTCGCACTGCATTGATCAGTGCTTATATACATTGGTGCAGAGTCGTTAGGAAAACGATGAAATGAGATGCGTGGTGTTTATGTTTTTCTGTTCCAGCAGCTGATTGATCCGCAACAGGAGATCCTTGTTTGTGAAGGCTTCTTCTCCCTTTTCCACCCCTTGTTTAAAATAACATAACAATGTACGGAGAAGATCACACATCAAAGTTGTTTTAGGCGGCTATCTTGGGCCAGGACTGCGGAGTTGTAGTCGCAGAGCCAGCGGTTCAGCTCCGACTCGGAGTCGGTTGATTTTTAAAAGCTGTAGTCGGAGTATGAGTCGAACGTCACCGAAAAGTCATCGATTCCACAGACTCACCAGGGCTGCAGAGTCGGAGTCAAAGTCGGAGTCTGTGTGAATCGACAGTTCTGCCCGGAGGAGTCGGAGTCGATATTTGGATACCGGAATCGGAGTTGGAGCCAAAGTCACTGAAATTTCATCGACTACGCAGCACTGGTTGGGTCCTTTTCATAGAGCGTCTTGAATGACATATTTGTTATAGGGGAAGCTCCCTTCGTATGGCAGCCGTTGTACCGCTGCCATATCTGTGCCCGCTCCGTTGGTCAAGGCCGCCAATAAACAGTTCGTGCCCAGAGCCCGTCTCTGATCTATTACAGTGGCGACGAGGAAACTGCCGCGGGCCTTTCGGGGTCATGGCAGCGCTGTGGGGCCGTGCCCCAGAGTTTGACCCGACAGTGGAGGGCTTTAAGTGTTTTGTGCGTCGATTGGAGCAGTATTTCATCGCCTGTGATGTGGCAGACACGGACGCGGTGAAGCGACGTGCGATACTGCTGAGTGTTTTGCGACCTCAGTGTTATGGGCTGCTCGAGGATTTGGTTTCGCCAAGGAAGCCGAGTGATTGCAAGTATGCAGAGTTAGTGGAGGTACTGTCCAATCATTTTGAGCCCGCCGAGTCGGTGATAGTGAAACGGTTTCGGTTTCACTCGTGCTGCAGGGCTGACGGCGAGTCGGTGGCTGAGTTTCTCGCCCGGCTGCGATGTCTGGCGAAGCGGTGCTCGTTTACACCGGAGGCGCTGGATGACAACCTGCGGGACAGATTTGTTTGTGGCATCAGTGACGGTCGTCTCCAGACGCGTCTTCTCAGCTACCCGGATCTGACTCTGGCGTCCGCAGTGTCCGCGGCGCGGGCCTTCGAGTCAGCTGAATCGCAAGCGAGGGAGATCGCCCGAGGCTCAGCTCCGGCCGGCGCGGCCGCGGCCTTAGCCGCGGCGCAGGACGGTCACGTGGCTTGTGACGTCATCCCACCAGCTGTAGTCGGACGGGTAGAGCGGCAGAGCCGCACCCGTGAAGAGCGGGGGGATTTTGCGCCGCGCGCCCGGGGAACGGGCCCTCCGCCCGCTCACAGGGGCGGAGCGGGTCGGCGGAGCCGGCGACCAGATGCAGCGGAGGAGCGACGCCACCCCTGCCACCGCTGCCGTAGTCGTCGACACAGCCCATCGCGGTGCTGGGCCAGATCGCGGAGATGTTTCCAGTGTGGAGCGATGGGGCATGTTCGGGATGCCTGCAGCAGCGGACGACTGGATCTGGTGGCTGAGGACGAGTTCGACGAGCCATCGGACCTGCCCGCTCACGAGGACGGTGAGGTGTATCAGCTGTTCTACGAATCAGCTGGTACAGGGCGTGATAGTCGTCGGCCCCCTTTGTACGTAGACGTAAAACTCAACGGCCGCCCGATCAGAACTGAACTGGACACTGGGGCGGCAGTATCTGTGTGTTCCGAGGCCGAGTTTTTAAAGCTCTGGCCAAAGGGGGGTCCAGTGCTGAAACCCAGTGCGCTCAAACTGCAGACGTATGGTGGTGATGCCCTGTCTGTGTTGGGTGAGGTGTTGGTGTGTGTGCAGTATGGCTCTGTCTCTGTAAACCTGCCGCTGGTGATTGTGAAGGGTAACGGACCTTGCCTATTCGGCCGTGACTGGCTGTCACATTTTCGCCTGGACTGGGCGGCCATTTGTCGGGTGTCGGGTGTGACTGCCGATCCTCAGTTGCACCCTCTACTGAAGGAGTTCCCCAAGGTGTTTGACGATCAGCTGGGCTGCTTCACGGGCGAGCCGGTGTCGATCGTGGTGGATCCCGACGCCACGCCGCGGTTCTTCAAGGCCAGCCCGGTGCCGCTGGCGTACCGCCAGCGAGTCGACGAGGAGCTGGAGCGCCAAATACGCCTGGGGCTGTTGGAGGAAGTCCGCGACAGTAAGTGGGCGGCGCCGCTTGTGGTGGTGCCGAAGTCAGATGGTACCCTGCGCTTGTGCGGTGATTACAGACTGACCGTGAATAGAGTAGCGAATCTCGATCAGTACCCATTACCCAGGGTAGAGGAGCTGTTGGTGAAAATAGCTGGGTGCTCTGTCTTTTCTAAAGTAGACCTCAAAAGTGCGTACAATCAGTTGGTGTTGGATGAGCACGCAAGAGAGTTATTGACTTTGAACACTCCGAGGGGATTACTGAGACCCACTCGTCTGAGTTTTGGGTATGCCTCTGCTCCATCGTTATTTCAGCGGACGTTAGACAAGCTGCTCGGGGATATAAAAGGTGTAGCGGTATTTTTGGATGATGTAATCATCGCCGGACCGTCTTTCCCGACGCACAACGCGGCACTACGGGAAGTGCTGCGTCGGCTCTCTGAGGCGGGGTTGCGAGCCAATCGCGCGAAGTGTTGCTTTGGGGTGCACTCCGTTACATACTTGGGATACACGGTTAGTGGGGCGGGCGTGCAAACCACCGACGACAAAGTGTCCGCTATACGGGGGGCGCCCGAGCCGCGGAACATCACAGAACTGCAGGCCTGGTTGGGGCTGATAAATTATTATAGCAAATTCCTGAGGAATTTGTCAACCGTGCTGTACCCGCTGTACAAGCTGTTGCGTCAGGGTGAGCCCTGGGTCTGGGGCTCTGCAGAAAGGGATGCATTCAGTCGCGCCAAGGCGTTGCTTTTGTTTCCGCCAGTACTGGCGCATTTCGATCCCTCTTTGCCAGTGATTCTCGCGTGTGACGCTAGCCCGGTGGGAATCGGGGTAGTTCTGAGTCAGAAAACGGCGGTAGGAGAGCGCCCGATAGCGTTTTATTCGCGGTCGTTGAATAAAACCGAACGTAACTATTCTCAGACGGATCGTGAGGCTTTGTCAGTGATCAGTGGTGTGAAGAAGTTTAATTATTACCGGGAGTTCCTAAATAAACAGTCGTATTTAAAAGCTGTATATTATCAGCATGGAAGGCATGACAAAAACGAATCACTTTCTAACATACACAATAGTCGATGCCATTTCATGTGATACCATCTTCTTTTTGCTGTCTTTTCATTTGCGGCCACAGAGGACGTGTTCCAGATGAGCCCCCTCTCGCTCCACACACAGCTCTGCGCGTCGCCGAGCGGACTCCACCGCAGCCCGGCAGATCTCCGGCCGCACTCGGCGCACCGCGGACGACACGGCCCTCTTGAGGTCATCTGTGGTTCTGGGGTTGCTTTTGTAGACCTGTGACTTCAGGTGACCCCAGAGAAAGAAGTCAAGTGGGGTCAGATCCGGAGAGTGCGGGGGCCAGGTCCGCACCTCTCTGCGGGAGATAACCCGCGAACCGAATCGGTTCCGCAGCCATTCTCGAGTCGCAACGGCCGTGTGCGCCGAGGCTCCGTCTTGTTGGAACCATTGTTGGTCCATCAGCTGCCTGTCTCCACCCAGCCGCCTGTTCAGCGCAGTCCAGAACTTGGCTAGGACTTGCCGGTAGCGCTGAGCGTTGACGGTGACAGACTCCCCAGCGTCGTTCTCAAACCAGAAAGGTCCGATGATGCCACTGCTGCTCATTGCACACCAGGCTGTGCACTTCACACTGTGCAAAGGGGCTTCCGCGACCAAATCGGGTGGCTCCGTCGACCAGAATCGAAAATTCTGGGAGTTCACGCGGCCATCCATATGAAAATGGGCCTCGTCGCTGAACCAGATTCGGTGAAGGAACTCATTGTCCTGCTCGCAATTTCTCAAAAACCAGCCGCTGTAAAGAAGCCGTGACTGTTTGTCGACTTTCGACAGTGCTTGGCGAACGGAGACCTTATACGGGAACAGCTGAACGTCGTTTCTGGCCAAACGGTGAGCGGTGGTTTTGCTACAGCCCAGTTCCTGGCCCAGCCGTCTGAGCGACTTTTGTGGGCTCCTCTGGAGGGATTCTCGTGCCTTTTGGGCGTTTAGAGGCGTCCTCTTGGTTCTTTTTCGGCCACATTTACCCTTTTCTACGTTCTCCACACTACCTCTTGCCAAAAACTTCTCAACTATACTTAAAATGACGGTTCTTGGTGGCATTTTGGTCCTTTTGAAGTGTCGGCGTAGCTTACGTTGAGTTGCAACGATTGACTTTGTCTCAAAATAGAAATGTACTATTTTTGTTTTTATGTCTGTACTATACGGCTGCATGATAGAAAGTGATTGATTTTGGTATGAAATAAAATGGCATTGCACGTGCTATCATCACGTGCAATTTGATTGTTGTGATTTTGTTAGTTGACGCCACCACAGGCAAAAATAATTCGACTGTTTATTTAGGAACTCCCTGTATTTAGCCGGCCGTGCCTTTGTGATTCGCACCGATCACAAGCCGCTATTAGGTTTATTGGGAGAGCGTAAGCCGTTACCGGAGATGATCTCGGCGCGTATGCTGCGCTGGGCGTTGCTTCTCGCTGCTTATGATTATCGTTTAGAGTTCATGCCAGGTTCGAAGCAGGGTCATTGTGACGGTTTAAGCCGGCTGCCGCTACCATCGGTGACGGACGGCTCGTCACCGACTCCTGCAGAGGTGGTAAACATGTTGCAGTTTCTAGACGCAACGCCTGTCACGGCAGCTCAGATTCGTTTGTGGACGAGCCGAGACCCAGTACTATCAGCGGTTTTGCGTTATACGCAGCACGGTTGGCCGCGTGACGCGGCACTGCCTGCCGAGTTTCGGCCGTACCAGCAGGGTATTGGGGAGCTGAGTTGTCAGGATGGCTGTGTGATGTGGGGCGGACGTATGGTCATCCCGCCGCAGGCCCGGGAGAAGCTGCTCAAATTGTTGCATGATGGACATGTGGGGGAGAGTCGAACAAAATCTCTGGCTCGAGCGTATATGTGGTGGCCACGAATGGACGACGATATCGTGCGCGTAGTGAGCGGTTGTCGAGCGTGCAATGAGCGACGAAACCAGTCCGCCAACGTCCCCATTCACCCTTGGGAATGGCCTGTTCGTCCGTGGGATCGTGTGCATATAGATTTCTGTGGTCCTCTGGAAGGGATGATGTTTTTAGTTATTATTGATGCGCATTCCAAGTGGCTTGATGTTTATCCAACTAAAGTAGCGACCACCGCTGTGACATTGGATAAACTGCGAATGTCGTTTGCGTCTTGGGGTCTGCCACGTGTACTCTGTTCTGACAACGCGGCATGTTTTACTTCTCCTGTTTTTGAACAGTTCTGCGTTATGAATGGTATCCGACACGTCACGTCACCGCCGTATGCCCCCATATCGAATGGTCTGGCTGAACGATGTGTGCAGACCTTCAAACGGGGCTTTAGAATGTACAAGGGTTCCGTATCAACCAGAGTGGCTCGTTTTCTGTTTCAGTACCGTACTACGCCGCACACGACCACTCAGAAGTCGCCGGCGGAATTGTTTTTGAACCGGCCGCTTCGTACCCATTTTGATGGACTACGGCCGGATCTCTCTTTCGAGATGCAAAGTCGACAACGGTCCCAAAAACTATATCGAGATAGAGGTTCCCGATCCCGACATGTGAATGTTGGGGACGCAGTGTGGGTGACGGCAGTAACCAGGTTACAGGGGACGGGCGGCGTTTCCTGGTTACCGGGTGTTGTGTTAGAGGTGACAAGTGTGAAGGTGACGGTTTTGTTAGACTGCGGTAGAGTGGTGCAGCGGCATCTCGACCATGTTCGCCGTGATTGTTCGGGTGTGCGCCGGCGGCCGGGTGCGGATGAGGTGTCGCTGGCTGATCCTCTACCGGTGGTCGCTCCGGCCGCGGCGGCGGCTCCGGTGGAGTCCGAGCGGCCAGCCGGCGGGCCGGGTCATTCTTACAACTTGAGGCCACGGCCTACTCAGGGGCCGCAGCGGCTGTGAGAAGGATGTTTCAGTGCGCTCTGTTTTTGTTATGCAAATGCTTGTTTGGTTTGGTTCGTTCCGGAGGTACCCCTAGTCCGGAACGGAGGGGGAAGTGTTATAGGGGAAGCTCCCTTCGTATGGCAGCCGTTGTACCGCTGCCATATCTGTGCCCGCTCCGTTGGTCAAGGCCGCCAATAAACAGTTCGTGCCCAGAGCCCGTCTCTGATCTATTACAATATTGAGCGGCAATGACGTTAGTAATTCCGTTAAACTTTTTCATTAGACTTATAGATAGTGCTTAACGTTCGTTTTGTTCTTCGATCGGACAATTTGTTTGATTTAGGTCAAGTAAAGACTCATGTGAAAAATAGCGAAAACGACACGTGCTGGCGATGTCTCCAATAACTCCCTGTTTCACGATTTAATGAGGAAATAACATGGAACTGCTTATCTTCTTACTGACCCTGCACATAAATCTATTAATTTCTTCACTTTTACTGACATATAAAGACATAACCTTTTAAAAAATTGCACAACAAGCCCGCTACTACACCACACTCCCGTGTGTCACAATGCTAATCAGCGGCGTTCACTCGGCTTGCTCCTTACTTACGATAATTCGATAGGCGTTATCACAAGTGTATTCGCGGCCATTGGGGCGACGTAAGAAAAGAAGAAAACAACTGGCCCCAAGAACTTTAAATTATCAAATAGCATGCACCTTTTCCTTGATATGTAGAGAATTTACCATTAATTGTTAGAGAAAATTGCATTTAAAATCTTCCATTTATGCTTTTTTCATCGTTTGCACAGTATGTTCTTTTACTAAGCTAGAAACACTAATTAGAAATAGTTCCCGCATCATCAAGAACAATAGGGAAGGCTTGAAGTGAATACAATAACCTAAACGGTTTTGTAATCCATGTGAAGACACTTCTAAAATTGCCTGTAGAAATATTAAAGGCAAAAGTTCAACTTTTTCACAAGACGGATGGCTATAAACCTATTCAACGTGTGACAACTCAGCCGGTATATCGTCGCCTACAGCCCAGCTTTCCCTAGTGACCGATAGAGGCGCTGCTATCGATGTCCGCCCGTGCCGCCTAACGTCTCCCGCTAGATGGCAGGCCTGAGCTCAATGTCGCCAAAAACTGCGAAGACACCAATCCATTATTATCTCATCCATGGTATCGGTATTCCGATTTTCTGCAATTGACATCACTAACACTTACCTACAGGTGTAGCAAACACAAAGTGAAAACTGTTTGTGGCTACAATGCTGTGATAATTCCGTGTTTGAGTGAATTAGATATGTCAATCGGATACCAACTTTTTGGTATACCGATACCAAACCGATACCAACTTGGTATTTGGTATTTCAATCCTAATGTTTTTGGTATTTTGTTGGTATTATGAATGCTCGCTAATGTATAAGAGGCTGTGAATTCGGTAAAAAGTTGGTATTTCCCGAATATTCCTAAGTTGGTTGGGTTTCGGTATTTTCCCATGGTTTGGGTTGGTATTTGGTTTGGTATCGGTATCCTGATTTTCTGTAATGGACATCACTAGAGTGAATATGTACTTTATCAAAACGGTGTGAATTTCATAAATTACGGTGACTTTCCGTAACAGAATAGTGAACGAATAAAATGATAATGGGTCTATGACATCTAGGTAAAACACAAATCACAATTGAATTAGTACATTATATTCCGAACTAGGAATATTCTCATAATGTCAATTACTCAATCTGACAGCTTTTGAGACCTTTTCACATAGGTATTTTGTTCAGCTCTGTGTCTCTCTGTTTGTCCACATAGTTTGTATTCTAGCCTTGTCGTGTAGGGTCGGCGTCGGGTCATAAGTGGTCATAAATGGAGGTCCATGTGCCACACATGTGCGCGGCAGCAGGCACCTGAAGAAGGCGTTTCTGCAGCTTCACGTGGCCCAGGAGCTGTGGCCGTTTCAGACGGTAATCGTGGACGGCCAGCGACATTGTCTGACAAGGGTCGGATTTGGTCTCAGCGTTGCAAGCGGCATCATGCGAGCGGTAGTGCGGGAAGTTTTGGATCAAAGTCCAGAGATCGCAAAAGCAGTGCTTCCGTACACTGACGGCCTGCTCGTCAGCGAGACGCTTATCTCTGCTGAGCGGGTGGCCGAACATCTTGCCGCATACGGGTTCTCGTGTAAGCCACCGGAACGGGTAGCGGATGAGGCCGGAGCCCGGATGCTGGGGCTCCGAGTGAAACGGCAGTCTGGCGGTGACGGCACACTGAGATGGTCTCGGGACGGCGTGACACCAGCTGAGCCACCCGGGGTGCTGACCAGGCGGTCAATCTTCGCCTGGGCGGGTCAGCTAACCTCACACGTGCCCGTCGCCGGGTGGCTGCGGCCGGCCGCCGCCTGGCTGAAAAGGGCGGCGAACAAGGTCACCAAAGATTGGGACTCACTGATCACTGACGATGACCTGCGCAAACAAGTCAGTGATGTGGCCCGGCGGCTGGCAGAGTGTAACCCGGCACGAGGACAGTGGTGCGTCTCAGGAGACTCAGTGACGGTGTGGACTGATGCCAGCTCCATCGCCCGCGGCGGCTAAGTGACCCCACCACGGGTGAGGTTATCGAAGACGCCGCGTGGCTCCGATCTGACAGTGACTCAGACATGGATATAAACCTATCGGAGCTGGATGCCGCGCTGAACGGTATGAATATGGCGGTGGCGTGGGGATTCAAGCGTGTGATCCTCCGCACAGACTCTGTCACTGTTCAGCGCTGGCTGACCGAAGCTCTGACAGGCCGTGCCCGACTGAGAACGAAGGCACAGTCGGAAATGCTGGTTCGGCGGCGGGTGGCCGTTTTCAAGCAGCTCTCCAGCGAGTACGACCTCGTCGTGACAGTGGAGCTCGTGCCGTCGGCTGCCAACCGTGCAGACGAACTCACGAGAGTACCAAAAGTGGATCAGAACCGGAAGCGAGCAGGCGACAGGTGTGGTATCGGCCGTCAGGACAGCTCGACCGGAGGACATAATGGCGGTGCATGAAAGTGTGGGACACCAGGGAGTGCGGCGGACGTGGTGGTATGCGCGCCGAGAGCTGGGAAAGAGCGTGACGAAGTCGGCCGTTCGTCAGATCGTTAGATCGTGCCAGGTGTGTGCGTCGATCGACCCAGCCCCGTCGCGCTGGAAGCATGGTGCCCTGGCGGTCGAGCGCAACTGGGAGCGGCTGGCAATGGACGTAACCCATTTCCGCGGAAAACACTAACTCACCGTGGGCGTGATTGACTGTGGGCCGTCGCGATACGCCATGTGGCGTGAGATCCGCCGCTCTGACGGGAGCGAGATCGTCAGACAACTCGAGGCTCTGTTTTTGGAGCGAGGAGCACCGGCCGAGATTCTAATGGATAATGCGACCGAATTCAAGGGTCGCGAGCTGAAGGCGTTCGCGGTACGGTGGGACGTCGAGCTGAGGTATCGCGCGGCCTATGAACCTGGTGGGAATGGCATCATCGAGCGCCACCACCGCACCATCAAAGTGATGGCCGCCCGTCAGGGATGCACCGTACCAGAAGCCGTGCACCGATATAATGTCACGCCCAAGGACGGGCGTGATATTACCACGGCCCCGATACATGGTGCCTACCGTCAGGCTGGCAGAGACTTTTGCGTGCAGTCACAGGGAAACACAGCTGCTCCCTCTCAGACGGCCCGCCAGCCTGGTGTGTATCAGCCCGGTGATGCGGTGTGGGTCCGAAAACGGGGCGATCGGTGCACCGCCGTGTCAAAGGAGGGCACTGTCACCAAATTCGTATCCGCTCAGACGATTGAAGTGGATGGAGTCCCATGGCACGTGCTGAACATTCGTCATCGTCTTGCCAACAACGGTGACGACGCGATGGCTGCTTCGACGGATGATGAGCATGCAGGAAGAGGAGATCGCCTGTCCGGTTCCGACCGCCCATGTGCCTGGACAGCTGGCCATTGAGGCGCCGGCGGCGGTGGAGCCGTCAGAGCTGACCCCAGCTGTCGCGCCGACCGAGCAGACCGAGCCGATCCCTCGAGCAGCAGCTGAGACGGATGGCGGTGCCGGAACAGAGGAGCGGATCCATACAGTGAATGTTGTAAAAACAGAAACTGAGGGATTGTCAAACGACCGTGTGAACGAAGGTAGAGCGCCAGCGGAAAGTGTTGATAATATCGATAGTTATAGTGACGTGCTAAGAAGGGGTTTGCGCTGCAGGCGTGCGCCGCAACTCTTCGGCGCTCCCATCCCCCATTAGTTAAATTGTAGTTAGATGTGTTCCTTAGGAACAGGGGGGAATGTGTCTCTCTGTTTGTTCACATAGTTTGTATTCTAGCCTTGTCGCGTAGGGTCGGCGTCGGGTCATAAGTGGTCATAATGATAAGAGAGTTCGTGCACACACTTCGGCAATGGTTTTCAGCAGTCATGGGACGTATTTATCAATGCAGATCGCTTATTGTGATGTTGGCAACCAACCACTAAATACCTGGAGGGCCGCACCTATTTCAACTTTGTATCGTTATAAATTTTGTAGCGTAAATATTACGTCCAATACAGGCCCAAATCATTGACCATAACCATTCACCACACGACTTGTCATCCTACGGCTTACCATGACTTATGGCTTCCGTCTTACCTTAGGTTAAGGCAGCATTACCTACAGTACATGTAATATGTGTTGTATCCAGTTATTCTTGGTTTGATTTAGGCTTCAGAGTGTCGAGGATGAACTGCTTCTCCACGTTATTTATGAACATTTGCTAGAAAAATAGGCAGTACCTTAGAGCAAAACTCACAAGCGAGGAACGGTATTGCCGGCCTGTTTCTCCGTTCTTCGTGTCCCCGTATCGCCCCTGCCCCGTTCAGGAGCGCCTGGCAGCGCCACCTGCACCTGACCAGTCCGGCAGCGTTTGGGGGGGTGGGACTAAATGCTTACTTCGAAATCTAAGCTACGTTGCGGCATTGGCGGTTATGTGCGGCGTGTATGCCGCATGATTAGTAAGCGGCGACCACTAAATTAAAGACTCAAACGCTCCGACCGGTTCTCAATGAATAACACTGCATACCAAAAATGCCAACCGCTCTCGTCATAAGATATTCAGCTTTAAATAACTAGGTTATCTACATCATCATTTTGAACCAAATTAATACTTTCAACTTAACTCACTCATTCCTTCCTTTGTTGTCTCCAAACAGTCGTTCGATTGTCTGGAAATCGTATGCTAAATCCCGTACCTGTATGCGACTGGTGCATATAAAGGCCGATAAAAGAATTTGAATAGGCTCTGGCATGCGATTTCCTGGCTACCCAAAAAAGTCTGTTTCAGTCTTGCTATCAAAACATGACCTCGCCCGCACAGGGGGGGGGGGGGTTGATGCAACCCCCCTAAGGTTTTTCGCGAATAACTCGCTTAAAAAGCGGCTGATCGCGAAGAAACTTTCAGTACCCTCGCATTGATCAATTTAACACCCATCCTGAAAATTTCATGACCCTGACCCAAATGACCTTTGACCTGTGACCTACTTTTCGAGACCATGTTTGGCCGGAACCGCGATTCAGCGTATGTCGGCTCGCATTAGCAGCGCGTTTGCAGTCTTTTCGTGGTTTCAAGCGTTCAAACATGTGATATGATGTTGCCCCCATGCATTAGGGTGGGTGTCAAGGTCACCTGAAGGTCAGGTCAGGTCATTGACCTTTGGTGACCTCGGTTCACTTTTTCGAGTTTGACATGTTTCTAGGTCAGTTTTTTCGAGCTGAATTCGAATTAAGCAACCACATGAACGTTTACAAAGTAGTTTTGGTGCCTTCGTAACATGTTACGAGGCTGTCAGAGGCGGTTGACACCTACTACAAATACCTGGCAGGACCTCTACTGGTTGACCTGACCTGACCTAACCCGACCTGGCCTAAATGAATGAAGACATCATCTGTGATCAAAACTAGCATGATATTCGTGATCAGCACCCCGAAAAACCCCATAGCAGCCACACTACGACGTTCTAACAGGTCCCAATTTTCCCGCCTTTTGGGTCATTGACCTGACCTGGAAGGTCAACCGATAACCTAGGACCTTAAAATTGGGTATCATCGGCTTTCTCTCGTCACGGGCAACACGCTCGTTTTTTCCGCGAAGCTCTAGCTTGATCAGGAGCGAAACGGCAAGGGGTTATACCTTAGGTATACGTTCGCGGCTGAGTATTAATTTGGTTCAAAACAATGATGTAGATAAGTTAGTTATTTAAATCTAAATATCCTATGACGAGAGCGATGGACATTTTTGGTATGCAGTGCTATCCATTGAAAACAGGTCGAAGCTATTGAATTTTTAATTTAGTGGTCGCCGCTTACTAATCATGCGGCATACACGCCGCACATAACCGCCAATGCCGCAACGCAGCTTAGGCCCCGCGTTCGATGTCTCCCGCACTGTAAACCAAATCTACAAGTTGGCTCCTTGTTACAAGTTTGGTTCCAATTCGCATAGGCGTCACCTTGTCGATTCACCAACCCCAGGCTTGTTGGCCAACAAACTAACAGTTTGTCTACAAGTTTGGTTCCAATTCGCATAGGCGTCACCTTGTCGATACCTTGTCAATTCACCAACCCCAGGCTTGTTGGCCAACAAACTAACAGTTTGTCTACAAGTTTGGTTCCAATTCGCATAGGCGTCACCTTGTTGAGTACTAGTCTGGGCCTTGTGGACCTACCAACTTCTGGAGAGGCATATTCGTTTCCTTGTCGGTTCACCAACCCCTGGTTTGTTGATGAACTAGCCTTTGACTGGGCATTGCTAGCTTACAAATTGTCAACAAGTAAGTGTACTAACGCTCTGTTCGAACTTGTCAACAATCGCTTTGTTTGCGTTGATAACCTTAAGAACTTACGATTCGCGTTCGTTTTCAATTGCCACGATACTGATTCAGGAAATATTTTCTATACGGACAGGTTAGGTATTTTTTGGCTGGAAGTGGTGCACAAAACCATGACTGGCATCAGTTATTGCTCAAAGGCTTGCAGTGCTGACAAGAAACTGATGGGTTATATAATCAATGAATGCATACACCACATCCATTCGGAAGTTTCTGGAATCATTAGTATTTATTACGGTCACGTAATTAATACTATTGACTGGAGACAATGCCGAGTGCATATTTCCGAATGGATGTGGTAAATGCATGAGGTAGGTATACCCAGTAGGTATACCTATCGTGCACCGTCAGCATATAAGTCTTTGAAGCAAGAACTGCTGCGTATGTGGAAGAACATGGTTTTGTGCACCGCATCAAGCCAAAAGTATAACATGCCCGTATGACGAATATTTCCTGAACATTGACCATAACAATCATGGCAGTTGCACCATCACGCAGATAATTCGAATAAATCATGATCGCCAACCAGATTAGCTTTTACAGCCCATATATGTCCATCAGTTAAGTTAAAAATACAAAGAGTTGAATTAAAGGCAAATAAATGTATTTATATATAAAAAACACCGACCGCAAAACACCTGCTCACACAGGTCTGGCCCACTTACATTGCGCGCGCAGGGGAAGGGAGGCGTCTCGAACGCGGGTATGAGGCACGATTAGTGCGTCCCGCAGGCCAGAGGGGGCCTCACTCACAGCACGAACACCACAGTTCACAGATTTCACTTTTTACTGCACAAATGCTGGAACAGCCCTCGTCGCTGCTCCAGGCTGCACGGCGGCCGCGCGACAACTGCTGGTTCGAAACCCCGCTAACGGCGGGCGGCGACCGCTGATTGGTCCGCCAAGTCTGACGTCATAGGCGCATCTGACCATGTGTATGCTGACCAGCTGACCAGTACAAGTTAGGCGCCGGTTAAATAACCATGCGGCAACAAGTTTCCAAAACTGGTTAAGAAACAAACGTTGAAACAAATGTAGAGTTGGTCTGGATACTGAGAAGTTGGTGTGCATAGTAACTATTGACTCGTAGTTGTCACCTGACAAGCAATGCACCAGACAACGGCTTGTTTAAAAAGTATCAGTTGGTAAACATACCAAAAGATGATTGGTTATATTACACAAGACTTGTCAATTTGGTTTACAGTGCGGACGGCAAAGATTCTACACCGTCCGGCCAATCACGTTCCATAACCGCAGCCGAGCCCCCACTGACCTTGGACGGGATTGGCCGGACGACGTAGAATCTTCGTCGTCCGAGAGACATCGAACGCGGGGTAGATTTCGAAGTAAGCATTTAGCCTCACCCCGTTTGGGGTCGCCGCGCACCGCCGACAATCAGCTGACGCGGCCGGCAGCGCGTCTCAAGGTCACTGGAGGTCAGCCGGGCCGCGGCCCGCCGGGGTGGCCGTGACGTCACAGCCAGCGAGCGCCGAGTGCCGAAACACCCACTGTAGTTAATCACCTCCTAAGTCCTAACCATTAATGTATAAATAACTTCCACCGCTGCTCACCATCTGTGTCTAGTAGGGTAATCCGAGACCCCAGCTCCGTGGCCAGGTGACTGATGGTATCGGCAGCCACCCCTTGGAGAGATACCGACAGACCACTCCCGTACCATCCCGGCCACCTCGGCTTCGTCACCTCCGGCCCTGTCGGACAGAGCTGTGTCAGCTGACTGCAGTCGGACGGAGCTGCTGCCGGGTCGGGAGGCGGCTGACACTGTGGTGTCAAACCCTGACACAGACGACATTGACAACGTAAGGTTCGAGCCTCACTGTTGGACAGTAATTGAACACTGTGCACAATGCATGCAGTACGCTTATATAGTCGACTACAGAATGATGTTCCACTCCTCAGAAGCTATCAGTTGACCGGAGCGCTTAGTTGTGCCGTTTATCACGCAATTAAACGTGTCGATTGTGAGCATTGGGACAAAGCTATAATTTGTGAACTCAGCCCGTGTGATGCGGCACAGCCTACCACCCCAGGCAAATAATTGCCTGTGAAAAGTGGAACATCATTCTGTAGTCGACTATTCATGCGTCAGTTAATTAACCCTCGCCCTGGCAGGGGGCGGGGGTCGATGCGACCCCCCCCCTAAGGTTTTTCGAAGATAGCGTAAAAACGGCGGCGCGCAGTGCCGCCAAATTTGGCACAGCCTATGGGGCAACCTTTTTACATAAGACCTGAAAATTTCAGGTCCTAGTGACCTTGGGTCAGGTCACCAGGTCAGAAAAACCGGTACAAGGTCATGGTCAAATTTCAATTTTCTTTTTGCACCTGTCCAACTCACAGTTTTGAACTGATTTCCTTCAAACTTTCAGGATGTGCTAACTTCACCGAGTTGTATAACATATAGTTCGTTTTTTTAGGTCACTGACCTGAGGTCAGTTAGAGGTCATTACGTCGTAATGTTAAGCCTATGGGAAAATATTAAATTCGGAAAATACTGGAGATATCCGCTTCGTTCTATCACTTTTGTGATTTGAAACCACAGTACTTAACAGCAGGTCACTTGGTGCTTCTTTGTTTGGTGTACTTATCCATGGGTCAGGTCAAATGAGGTCAACTGAGGTCAAATGACGTTTTTGCCGATAACTTGGCACATAATGACGCTAGAGCTTAAACAATGGCATCATTGTGTTCCTGGTGATCAGCCGAATCGAATGATATGCGATATGATGCAATTTGGTTAACTTGAACTTAATTTATTAATTCAAGTTTACTTAACCTTCCAGGCGGTGGGGGGGGCAATTTTTTGCCCCCCCCCTTTACTTTTTTCGATATATCTCGAGAACCGCTGCGCCGATCGTCACCAAACTTTCAGTACCCTCCCGGGAGCAGCTAGCGCACATGGTGACCAAAAATTTTTCCAAAGGCTATGATAGGTTGGCCGCTAATGACGTAAGAGTGACGTCATTTTTGCCATTTTCGACCCAAAAAAAGGTTTCGCGGGAAGAGCTGTCAGGCCTACAGCTTTAGAGACACAGAAAAATGTTTTAGACATAAAAGGTGTGGAATCAAAAGGGCTACAAAACTGCTATTTCGGTTTTTCGAATTTTTTGGATTTTGACCCCCAAAAATCAAAAAATAGAGTTTTTGAATATAATAGCCAAAAAATCCAAAAAGTTTTTTGAATTTCGAAAAAACCGGAATCTATATGATAGTCCCTACCGCCTTCTATCTACATACCAAATTTGAGATCGATACCTCGTTTTTTGGCCAAGTTATAGCGAAAAAACTGTTCAAAATTGATGACGTCAAATTTTCAAACTCAATTTTTAGCAATTCTAGACCTTGTAGCGCAAAACAAAGACCACCATTAGACTCCCCGTGACGAGCTGCATCGAATCGATACCCATTTTGTGCAAAAATATCAACTTTGAAATTTGACCTTTTTTGACCTGACCTTGACCTGACCTCCACCAGAAAGTGACCTAAACCGTACCTGATGCTCTTATAACCAACACCATTGAGTTGGAAATGAAAAACTGGCCATAAAACATGCATCACATAACCTTAGTAAAGTTGGGCTCATGTGGTGACCCTTGGTGACCTTTGGTGACCTGACCTGTGACCTGACCTGGTATGACCAGTGACCTCTAATAGCAACATATGTACTAGACAACTGACGCCTTATCGCTGATTTTCGACAAAATGCGTTTTACTCGGTGTTATAGCGCTTTCCCTAGAAGCCCTGTGAACGGTGAAACATTTTATCTTTGACCTGACCTGTGACGTCATCGGTGACCCCGAGGTCAATGAAATTTGGTTTCCCTCGACAAATTTGACAGGGCTATCGAACGCCGTTTGAATTTTTCGGATCCGTCCAGTAGTTTCGGAGATACGGGGGGGGCAAAAAAGTGCCCCCCCACCGCGTGGAAGGTGGCAGGTAGGCCCACCGCCTGCCGGGTTAAAATTTAAGAACAACTTTCAGTACACTTAAGCAAGCTAAAAAGTATATCATTCGACGCGCCTGGACGTGCTGAGTTAACTGGTGCATTTTTTGCTCTATCTTAATTAGATCAAAAGTTATAAGCGAAAAACTTTTGACCTGTTTTTAGCGAAATTTTTACATTTATATCCCCCAAAACCCCCCTAAATATTGACCTAGAGCAACCAAATTTGCACAGGGGCGAGAACTCCACGGGGCCCACCTACCCACCAAATTTGGTGTTTCTAGGTGCCATAGGAGCCAATCGCGAGGGGGGGGGTCGCATCGACCCCCCCTGCCAGGCCGTGTTATGAAAAATGCCCTGCCAAGGCGAGGGTTAACCCTCGCCCCGTTGGGGGGGGGCATTTTGGCCCCCCCCTGTGGTTTTTCCTGAATAGCAAGAAAACGGCGGCGCGCAGCGCCGCCAAATTTTCCGTACCTTCCCGGGCATCAATTTGACACCTTCTCACCAAATTTCAAGTCTTAGGTCACCTTAGGTCAGGAGTTATTGAGGTCAAACTGAGGTCATGTTCGAGCAAAAATGAGCAAAAAACATGCAATCTTGAAACGTTCACCAAATCTACAGTTACCAAGCAATTTCAAAGTTCTTTATATGGTCTAGTAGACAAAAAGCGGCGCTACAAAACTGCTATCTCGGATTTTCAAACTTTTTGGTTTTTGACCAAAAAAATTCAAAAAATTTTTTTTTAGAAAAAACTTTGAAAAAAACCAAAAATTTTCCGAATTTCGAAAAAACCGGAATATATGTGATAGTCCCAGTGCTCTTCTATATACATACCAAATTTCAGATCGATATCTCGTTTTTTAGCCAAGTTATTGCGAAAAAACTGTTCAAAAATGATGACGTCAAATTTTTGAACTCAATTTTTAGCAATTCTAGACCACGTACGGCAAAACAAAGACCACCATTGAACTCCCCGTGACGAGCTGCATCGATTCGATACCCATTTTATGCAAAAATATTAACTTTGAAATTTGACCTAATTTGACCTGACCTTGACCTGACCTTGACCTGACCTTGACCAAAACGTGATCTAAGTTGGACCCAAAGGCTGCCTGACCCATATAATCGCATTTGTCATGTAAAATGGACCATAAAACATGTATCACACGACACTTTCATATTGTGACCCACCCATGACCTGACCTCTGTGACCTGACCTGGTATCAGTGACCTCAAATAGCAAAATATGTGTTTGAAGAACATTTTCCCATCGATAATTTTCAATGAAATGCATTTTACTCGATTTTACAACGCATTTCTTGAAGTGCCTGTAAACGGTGAAAATTGGACCTTTGACCTGACCTGTGACGTCATCGGTTTGACCTAGGTCAATAAAATTGGGTCACAAGGTAGTTCCCCGTTGGGGCTATCCAACGCCGTTTACCGCTTGTCGCTATGTTGCGTGGTTCTCGAGATCTTAGGGGGGGGCCAAAATGCCCCCCCCCCCAACCGGGCGCGTTGCTCGGCAGAGCCCAACGGGGCGCGGGTTAATACAGTTTAGTACATACAGGTCATACAGGTTCAGTACATACAGGTCATATTCGTTTGAAAGAGTATAAAGTGGGTATGTACAATACAGTGACTAATGTTTGTGTAGCCTGTAGGCATGGCATACATATGTCCGCTGAACGCTCATCACTCAAAGTGTACCATGTAAGTACCTACCACCATTCAGAAGTAATAGTACGCGTTTCCTCAACTATTTCTCACCGGCAACGTATAGCGACCTCAATGACGTCGGCAGCAGCCGCAGCCACCGCCCCGTTCCGAAGGACGGCACCCTGACGGTCAGCTCCTCCAAGCGAGGAAGACTCTGCAGAAGCGCCGTCAGCTGATCCTCGCCAAGGGCTGACGGAGCGTCGAACGTCGTCATGGTTACAAGGCCGAGCGCCTCCTCAAGCGTGTTGAATAGACTGGCGACCGGTGGCTGGGGCTCCGTCTGTACCGTGACGTCACTGTGTGCCGATGGCTGGGGCTCCGTCTGTACTATGACGTCACTGACTGTCGATGACTGGGGCTCCGTCTGTATCATGACGTCATTGGCCATTTTTCTAGCTCTACTGAAAAGAAAAAAAGTCTATAAATCCACTAAACAGGCATACCTAACAATTCCGCATTTATTGTCGGCTCATTCGATATTTCGATATACCTACCAACATTTCTATACCATCGTCGTCAGTAATGGTATGTCGTCAAATCTATTCGGCTGTATTAAATCGTTCAGATTTGATTTGATACGACTGTGAACGATTTGAAACGACCGATTAGATTTTGTGACACGATTGCTGATGAAGACATGTAAATAAGTGCGGGATATGATGCCCCGAACTGGCCAACTTTATGCAGGACGGCTGCCGAAAGCTGGAACAAGACGAACAAGACTAGACGGCTGACTTGCAAAAGATAGTAATAATTTAAGGCATGTTTCTTTAATTGGGCGGAAACTGCAATTACAAGTTACTGTTTTATTTCTTCATATCCGGCAGTTGCTGGGGTAGTTCGCCATCCACCGTTTGCTGGGGGGGGGGGGGCGTAAAACGCCCCCAGCCGATAACTCGAGAACCAATAAGCGAAGCGAAACGCAGGAGGCGGCAAACGAAAGAACGCGACGAGACGCTTCAGATGAGTACTTTAACCCTCGCATGTGTGCTGCGTTTGCCAGCTTCTAATGTGTAGGGGGGGGGGGGTCGGTTGGACCCCCCTTGCCGTTTTGCCCCTGATCGAGCTAGAGCTTCGCGGAAAAAACGGGCGTCTTGCCCGTCACGAGAGGAGGCCGATGGTACCCAATTTTAAGGTCCTAGGTCATTGGTTGACCTTCCAGGTCAGGTCAATGACCCAAGGTCGGGAAAATCGGGACCTGTTAGAAAGTCGTAAAGTGTGGCTGCTAAGGGGGTTTCAGGACGCTGATCACGAATATCGTGTTAGTTTTGATCACAGATGATGTCTTCAAGCATTTAGACCAGGTCGGGTCAGATCAGGTCAGGTCAACCAGTAGGCGTCGTGACGGGTATTCGTAGTACGTGTCCACCGCCTCTGACACCTTCGTAACATGTTACGAAGTCACCAAAAAACTACTTCGTAAATGTTGAAATGGTTGCTAAATTCGAATTCAGCTCCAAAAACTAGCCGAGAAACATGTAAAACTCGAAAAAGTGAACCGAGGTCACCAAAGGTCAATGACCTGACCTGACCTTCAGGCGACCTTGACACCCACCCTAATTCATGGAAGCAACATCAAATCACATGTTTGAACGTTTGAAACCACGAAAAGCTTGCAAACGCGCGGCTAATGCGAGCCGACATACGCGGAATCGCGCTTCCGACCAAACATGGTCTCGGAATAGAGGTCACAGGTCAAAGGTCATTTGGGTCAGGGTCATGAAATTTTTAGGGTAGGTGTAAAATTGACCAATGCGAGGGTACTGAAAGTTTCGTCGCGATCGGCCGCTTTTTACGCGAGTTATTCGCGAAAAAGCATGGGAGGGTCCATCCGATCCCCCCCCCCCCCCTACACATGCGAGGGTTAAAGTTGAATTTTGAGGTCACAGGTCGGGTCAAGGTCAGGTCAAACACCTGAAATCGGGCTTTCAGTAGCATTGACTTCAGGACTTCGCAATGGGCGCCTCTCGTCATAAACTCTGTCAAAACGGTGCACAATCCATCATATAAGGTCTACGAGAGTGTCAGCTCCATGTAGGGGTCAGTCAAGCATAGGTCAGGGTCAAGGTCAGGTCAACCGGGTAGGCGCATATCCCCGAAAATCAAAACTGATATTCGCAGCCTGTGACACATGTTTAACCCTCGCCGGCCGAGGGGGGGGGGGGGCGGGTGCCGCCCCCCCCATAGGTTTTTTTCGCGATAGCTCCGAACACGCTGACGATAGAGAGCTGAAACTTGGCATACCTGACCTTTGATCCAAGCCAGATCTTTTGACACCAACCGCATTTTTGGGTCAGGTCAGGTCACTGACCTATGACGTCATAAGTGAACCTCTGCACGGTCTTCAGATGTCGCAACTTCGCAACGCCCTCACTGCCAGAAGAGATGTCACAGGGAAATGAAACTTGCAGGATCTAGTATCCATTATGAGTCCCACAACTTGTATATATCGGATTTTTCCTAAAGGTCATATGAGGTCAGGTCATTTTCGTGACCTCACCATTATAAGTCAATGGGGAAAAATGAAAACTGCTATTCTGGCGCCGGGAACGATCTCCAACTATCTCAAGCACACAGAATCGTGATTGTATGCACTCCTTGCAAGGTTAGATGCGTCACTTTTGCAATGTTGACCTTGCGTGACGTCATTTATGACGTCATCAAGGTCAAATTAGTTTTTCGTCAATAACTCTTGATCAAATTGAGCTAGCGAGTCGGGAAAGGCACCAATGGACTCAGGAAGGCCTGCCGAATCGAATGATATGCGACATGACCTCTTTCGACCAACTTCGTGACCTGGGGGTGCTGACCTGACCTTGACCTGAGGTCAACACCCCAAGTTGACCTGACCCGGACAAAAAGTATATGATTCGACGCGCCTGAGCGAGGCGAACACGATGCTGCCAAAATCGGCGCTCTGCGGCCGTTTTTTGCGAAGTTATTCACCAAAAACTGAACCGTACCCTGGGGCACTTGACCTGACCTCAGAGGTCACCGGTTGACCTAGGACCTTAAAATCGGGTACCAATCTCTGCGTCTCGTAACGGCGCACACGCTCGTTTTTCCGCGACGCGCTAGCTCCACCAGGGGCGAAACGGCGAGGGGGGGTCGTACCCCCCCCCTCGGCCGGCGCGTATGTAGAAAACCAATAGGTCCGGCGAGGGTTAAGGGTAATTTGGGGCGTAGAACACGATGGTGACATTCATTTTGTCATATGTCTACGTGTTTGGCTCAAAAAGTTCAATTAAAGAAATGCATGTATCATGGTCGTGAAGAAGTCACGAAAAATTGCCAAGGTTCAGTTCAAGATTCTGGAAAATGGGGGACGATAATCAATAATCGAAGATAGCCTTTTGATTGTTTAATGTAGTGGCAGTCTAATGGCGTTTACGGCATGTGTGTATGTCTAAGTTGTGATTTTATATGATTTTTTGAACATATGCCGTTTTTGGTCGGAAACTCAGAAATCATGACGTCACTAAAACATCGATAGCTCAAGAATTTTCCGACCGATTTTTTTTTTAAACTTTGCTACAATAAACTTCAATTAATTCCCTACAGGTACCCGAAATTTGGCGCGACAGCGGCGCGCCGTTTTTATGCTATGGCCCGGCGAAAAAAGTGGGGGCGTTTAACCCGCGCGGGGCTGGGGTCTCCAGCCGAACGCGCGGGGCTGGGGGGGGGGGGTAAATTTTACCCCCCCTGTTATCTCCCGAACTAATGGTCCGATTTGGAAAAATCAAACGCCAATCGAAAGATCTCATCACGAACAACTAAAAACATGTACTTAATTTAAAGTTTGAGGTCAAGGTCAAGGTCAGGTCAAGGGTACAAATTGCAAGTTTCTACAGTATCGGCCTTGCACCGTAGTTGCCGAAGAATGGAGTCATCGACTGAGACTGATTGCCCAAAACGTGTTCTTAGGCTACCAAGACAATATTCGTTGCATACAATATCATTCAGAGGTCAAGATCAAGGTCAGGTCAGGTCAGGTCAGGTCACCAAAAAACAAAATATAGAAAAGGGCATGTGCGACACATGTTTTATGGGTCATTTTACTCATAGAATTCAATAGGCACACTCAATAAGTGATATGGACCACCTCTGGATGAATTTCAGGTCGAGGTCAGGTCAAGGTCAGGTCAAGTGAGGTCAAATTTTGAAGTTGGTTGTTAAGGCCTAAAAAGGTGTCTATCTGATGCAGTTTTTCACGGCGAATCGAATGGTGCTATTTTTGTTTCCGTACGAGGTCTAGAACTTCCAAACAAAATCATTTTTCAAAATTATTGTGTGTCGTGACGTCATTAAATCTTGAATAACTCCCACATTTTTGAATTGATTCTTCTAAAAATTGGTATATAGGTGCACATAGACCACTTCTCTGACATATTTTCCGGTTTTTCTGATACACTCAAAATTTTGGATTGTATAATCATTTTCCAAAAAAAGTCAGTTTTTTGAAAAAAATTTGGGCCAAAATCCAAAATTTTCAAAAAACCGAGATAGCCATTTGATAGACAAAGTAGAATTACGTATCACTTTTTTTGTTACGTCTTGATTCCTTTAGAAATGCAGATGTTAGCGGCGTTTAAACTTTTGCCGTTTTGGAGGCGAAAATGGCGAACATGACGTCACTAAAACGTCAATTTCTCAAAAATTTTCCGACGGATTTCGTTCAAATTTTCAGGGAACGTGTCAAATTGGTGTAAGAAAAGGTACTGAAAGTTTGGCGGCGCTGCGCGCCGCCGTTTTTGAGATATTGCAAAATTCGCGAGGGGGGGGTAAAATTTACTTCCCCCAGCCCCGCGCGGGTAAAGCCCCCCCAGCAACTCGCGGGATATCACGTTTACTGGTGTTTTATTTCTTACGCCTTCTACCTACAAAGAGAGTTTTATCTCACCATGACAGCTCTCCGAAATCTCTCAGCCCCAACAGCCACCCCTGCTGCCTCCCAGTCTCACCTCTGGGAACGGCCGGATGGCGCCGCTCGCCGGCGGACCTCCTGCCGCAGCTCCTCCACCACGGTCTGGCGAGTGGTCCGCTCTTCGATAACTGCTTGCTCCAGGCGGACCATCGCACCGTGAAGTGCGGCGTACTCCCCGTGGACTTTGGCCACCACTTTGCTCAGTGAGGCCACCTCATGGCGAAGGGCGGCCAGGTCTTCACGCACATCTGTCATCTCCATCTGTAATGCAGAATTACAGCTTTTTTACGTTTCTACTAATCATAAAAAGGTGACATAGTACGTAGTGTTACGTCGTACGCACTACGACATGTCGTGCAGCGTCGTGTCTTATCATGTCACAAAACGACGTGTCATTACGTATTAGGTACGACATGTTTTGTCATGCAACCCGCATTGTTGCATACCAGGCAGGCAAGCTTGGCAGGCACGCAAACTGGTAACCAATATAGAAACTTTCTATCGTTATTAGTTTTTCGCAAAAAAATGAGATAATAAAGAAACGTTATTACTACGTATGTTTACCCTTGGCCGGGCCTTTTTCATAACGCGGACGGTGAGGGTAGAGGGGCTGGTACGACCCCTGACGATTACCTTCTAATGCACTTAGAAACACCAGATGTATACTTATAGGATGGATAGGATGTATAGGATACAGCCAGTCACACAGCAGGACTGACACAGTCACACAGCAGGACCTCGGCTAAGGAATTTCGACTGGGGAGATGGGGACAAACCCGACTCCACAATGTCATATACCACCTAATATACACCGTATAAGCGGACCTTTACATCACACCTAACATTCATACCATATACCGTAGGTAACGGTATACCAAAATTCTGCCTAATCAGTTAAGCATACGTAAACATGTCTAAACAAACTTCTATTAAAGGTTTGGAGGCCAGCGTAGGGCCCTCAGAAGCCGAAGTCGAGCCGTCGGAGGCTAGCATGGTCATTTAGAGTCCGCTTTGGGACCTTAACCCGCGCACCGACGGGGGTCTGCGCCAACTTCGTACCGACGGGGGGGGGGCGGATGACCGCCCCCCTGAGATCTCGAGAACGAAGCAGGATAGCGACAAGCGGTAAACGGCAAGGGATGCGCACGGACAAGGTCTACAATTTTACAAAGGTCATTTTCAGGTCAGGTCAAAGATGACGTCACAGGGGTCAAAAAAGTCTAAATGGCGGCGCTAGGTATGGAGAGAGTTTTTCTCGAATAACTTTTGAAATAGTCAATATAGGAACAAACTAAGGGCAGCATCGTGATCCTCTCGTCAATCCGCATCGAATGATATATATGTTGACCTCGAAAGGTCAAGGTCAAATGTTGACCTCAGGTCACGTGACCTCGAGGTCATCATGTATATCATTCGATGCGCCTTGACGAGCTGAACACAATGAGACCATCCGCACGGCTGTATCTTGTTCCTGTACGGAGTTATTGTCAAAAAACCGCTGGTGACCTTTGATGACGTCACATGACCTTACAGCTGCTCAACAGCAAAATTGACCTCAAGGTAGTGAATGTTGACGTATATGAGGTCATGTATGGTTTATGGGGCCATTCCGACCCGTTTTAGTGGTAAAAACAGGGAGTTGATTTTTCCCCCATTGACTTATAATGGGGAGGTCGCGAAATTCACCTGACCTTAGGTCATCGACATCAAAATTCCGAGATAAACAAATTGTAGCTAATAGTGACCTTATAACATCCTGCGACTTTCAAAGGCCTCCGACATCTACTGTAGCTCTGGCACGATGACAAAGTTGCAAAAAAGTGACTTGAGGTTGGGTCATTCAAAGTGACCTGGTGACCTGATCTTTAAAGATAGGAGGTTCAAACTTGCACACCATGTGTAAAATTGATGAGAGAATAGTCGTACCAAATTTTGCGGCGCTTCGCGCCGCGGTTTTCCCGCTATTGGCGAAAAACCTCAGGGGGCGGATATCCGCCCCCCCGTCGGTGCGCGTGTTAAATAGCCAAATGTGGACGTGGGGCCCAAAGAAGCCATTGCGTAGCCCTTTTAGACCAGCGTGGGGCAATATAAGGGCAGCGTGGGTTCATCTAAGACCAGCGGCGTGGGGTCTTCTAAGCCAGATTGGGGCCCACTGAGAACAGCTCAGCTTGGGGCTATCTAAGGACAATGTAGGCCCTCTTAGGTTAACGTGGGCCCTCTGTCCTCTGAAGTCTAAGGTTGGCGCTGGGCCCTCAGAGGCTGGCGTTGGGACATCAGAGGCCACCTCGAGGGCCTCGACGGTCAGACTGTAGCCCTTATGCATGTTTAACCCTCGAGGCGCTGAGGGGGGGGGGCATAAAGTTGCTCCCTCCCTCTTTACGTTTTGCGGAATATCTCCGAAACCTGATAAGCTACGAACGTGAAACTCAACGTAGCTTCAAATGACTACCTAGGCAATGTTTGAGCAAATTCTGGTGGTTGTAGCACTTAAGATGACGTCACAGTGACTCATAAAATATTGTCGTTTTCCGATACGGACCGTTTCTGATGTCGCTGAGCATGAAACGCAACTGTAAATGAACTAGACAGCACCTGCTCTCATCCTGAAACACCTAAATACACTTCCATCTAGTTCCTGACCAATAATCGGCCCTTTATATACGGTCCCATATTTCTGATATATCGTGAGGAAACTGAGAGTCGCAAATCTATAATTTTACTTATGACGTCACTGTGACGTCATTTCAGATGAGATCGACACCAAATTTGGACACAACCTCGGCTAGGTATTCAGGAAGATATGTGCTTCTCTATCTCGTCGAGTTGCAGTGATATCGTCGCAGAAGTAAAGGGGGGCAACTATATGCCCCCCAGGCGGCCGGCGGGTGACGCGGAGGCCCAGTGGCCGCCGGGTCCTTTAAACAAGGATTACACGACACTTTCATATTGTGGTCCTCAGTGACCTGACCTCTGTTACCTGACCTGATATCAGTGACCTCAAATAGCAAAATATGTGTTTCACGCGCAATTCTTGCGCCCGCGGGTTAACAAACAGATCAGTTGTTTATTTTGTTTTATATTTTAGGGGATTATTTCAAAAGTCTTTTTTTTAATTTGGGGTTCAAAATCAAAACAAATATATTACAAACAAGATAGCAGTTTTGTAGCGCTGCTCGTTTTATATCTTTTTGTTTTTCAACATTTTCCTTTATCTTTAAAACTTTGGTCTTGACAGCTCCCCCCATCAAACCTCTTTTGGGTCGGAAATGCCTGAACGTGACGTCACTCTGACGTCATTTGCGGCCAACCTATCATAGACTGTGGAAGAAAAGGTAACGAGGTGTAAGACCGATTTACAAGAGGGTTCTGAAATTTTCGCGGCGATCGGCGCATTACTTTGGGAGAGAGAGCGAAACGACTGGAACGGGCGCATAAAATGCCCCCCACCAGGACGCGGGTTAAAAAGTTTCCACTGGGTCCTCTAAAGTAAAGGTAGCCTCAGGATTGTGTATACGCCGCTGGATGTTCTCTACGATATTAGACTAAGAGCAGTGTAACCACGGGCGACAATATATGAAAAGGAATTAGGATTGATTGACTTTCACATCGGGTTTGACAGCTTGGAGAATATTTATTTGAAAAGCATTATATTCACTCCGACAGGGTGTGCAAAATCTCGTCACTGCAGGGGCAACTGGCAGCCACTGCGGGACATTTGCCCCCTCCCCAGTAGCGGGGAACACCTTCAATTAACCCGCGCCCCGTAGGGGGGGGGGCCGAAACGGCCCCCCCGTCCTTTTCGGTCGATATCTCCTAAACGGCTGGAGATATCGCCACCAAACTTTCAGGACCCCTCCGGGCATCAATTTTACACATTGTGACCAAAAATTTTTCCAGAGGCTATGATAGGTTGGCCACAAATGACGTCAGAGTGACGTCATGTTCTGTCATTTTCGACCGAAAAAAGACCTTCGTGAGAAGACCTGTCAGGACTACAGCTTTGAAGATACAGAAAAATGATCAAGACATAAAAGGTGTAGAATTGACAGCGCTACAAAACTGCTATCTCGAATTTTTGAAATTTTTGAGTTTTGACCCCCAAAAATAAAAAAAGCACTTTTTTGGATATATTCGCCAAAAAATCCAAAAAGTTTTTTGAGTTTCGAAAAAAACGGAATATATGTGATAGTGCCTACCGTCTTCTATCTACATACCAAATTTCAGATCGATACCTCGTTTTTTGGCCAAGTTATAGCGAAAAAACTGTTCAGAAATGATGAATTCAAATTTTCAAACTCAATTTTTGGCAATTCTAGAACTCGTAGAGCAAAACGAAGACCACCATTAGACTCCCCGTGACAAGCTGCATCGAATCGATACCCATTTTATGCAAAAATATCAACTTTGAAATTTGACCTAATTTGACCTGACCTTGACCTGACCTTCACAAAAACGTGACCTAGGCTGGTCCCAAAGGCTGCCTAACCCACATAATCGCATTTGTCATGTAAAATGGACCATAAAACATGTATCACACGACACATTCATATTGTGACCCCCGGTGACCTGACCTCGCTGTGACCTGACCTGGTATCAGTGACCTCAGATAGCAAAGTATGTGTTTGACGAACAATGTACCATCGATGGTTTTCAATAAATTACCAATTTACTCGCTTTCACAGTACATTTCTTGAATTGCCTGTGAACGGTGAAAATCTGACCTTTGACCTGACCTGTGACGTCATCGGTTTGACCTAGGTCAATGAAATTTGGTCACAAGGTAGTTCCCGGGTGGGGCTATCGAACGCCGTTTGAATTTTGAAAATCGGCCGGTAACTTTCCGAGATCTTAGGGGGGGCCGAAACGCCCCCCCCCCCCTACGGGTGGTAGGGTCCGCCGGTAGCCCTACGGGGCGCGGGTTAAGGTGGGGGTGGGGTGGGGGCATTGCCGACGTTTGGTCCCATTCTTTCCATGCAACGCCCATAGGGCTTATGTTAAAATGCCGAAATCAAGGGGACACGGTTCCCCGGTGCACCCCCCCCCCCCGTTCCGCCCCTTATGCCCTCACCCACATCCAAACACTCAGACGGGTACCTAGCACACAGAGAAGACACACAACGAATCACAGAATCACATACACACCGTTACACAAACACATGTTGTCTGACTATAGACACAGACGCACAAAACACACTCAACAACAGACAACAGACACAGGGACACACAGACCCCCCCCCACACACACACACACAGGTCGGTCCTGCTCACCTGATATTCGCCGCCTCCGCCGTGGTCGGCTCCGGTGGACAGAGCTCAGTACCGTCCACACACTGTTGGACCGCCCGCTCTGTCCACTGACCCGGCCGGTGGACGCAGTGCAGCTCGTGCGGCTCCGGCTCCTCCGTCGGCCTTTGTTCCTGTCTGGAACTGCGCCGGACATCAACACCCCGAGTCGGTGTGTCGGCAGAATCGATCGTGTTCAGTGAGTCGGCGGCGCGGTGTCCTGGCCTGATGACGTCAGTGGGGGGTCACCAGGGTTACAGGGACAACACGGACCGCCGGTCGATGTGCAGTCCCCCCTCCCCTCCCTTCCCCTTCCCTTCCCCAGTCCCCGGAACAACTTATGCAACTCGACAAAACAAAACATAGAGACGAGCGGACATGTGCAGGGATGGAAGAGGCGGATCTATGATCTCAGTGGATATCTCGACAAAATGGAGGTTTCGGACCTACATCTCATCCCTCGCCCGGTCAGGGGTTGGGGAGGGGGAGATAGATTAACCCTCGCCGGCCGAGGGGGGGCGGGTGCAGCCCCCCATAGGGTTTTTTCGCGATAGCTCCAAACACGCTGGCGATAGAGAGCTGAAACTTGGCATACCTGACCTTTGATTCAAGCCGGATCTTTTGACACCAACCGCATTTTTGGGTCAGGTCAGGTCACTGACCTATGACGTCATAAGTGAACCTCTGCACGGTCTTCAGATGTCGCAACTTCGCAACGCCCTCACTGCCAGAGGAGATGTCACAGGGAAATGAAACTTGCAGGATTTAGTATCCATTATAAGTCCCACAGCTTGTATATCTCGGATTTTTCCTAAAGGTCATATGAGGTCAGGTCATTTTCGTGACCTCACCATTATAAGTCAATGGGGAAAAATGAAAACTGCTATTCTGGCGCTGGGAACGATCTCCAACTATCTCAAGCACACAGAATCGTTATTTGATGCACTCCTTGCAAGGTAAGATGCGTCGATTTTCCAATGTTGACCTTGCGTGACGTCATGTATGACGTCATCAAGGTCAGATTAGTTTTTCGTCAATAACTCTTGATCAAATTGAGCTAGCGAGTTGGGAAAGCCACTAATGAACTCAGGAAGACCTGCCGAATCGAATGATATGCGACATGACCTCTTTCGACCAACTTCGTGACCTGGGGGTGCTGACCTGACCTTGACCTGAGGTCAACACCCCAAGTTGACCTGACCCGGACAAAAAGTATATCATTCGACGCGCCTGAGCGAGGCAAACACGATGCTGCAAAAATCGCGCTCTGCGGCCGTTTTTTGCGAAGTTATTCACTAAAAACTGAACCTTGCCTTGGGGCACTTGACCTGACCTCAGAGGTCACATGTTAACCTAGGACCTTAAAATCGGGTACCAATCTCTGCGTCCCGTAACGGCGCACACGCTCGTTTTTTCCGCGACGCGCTAGCTCCACCATGGGCGAAACGGCGAGGGGGGGTCGTACCCGCCCCCCCCCCCCTCGGCCGGCGCGTATGTAGAAAACCAATAGGTCCGGCGAGGGTTAACCCTCGCCCGCACATGGGGGTAGGGGGTGGGGGTGGGGGTGGGGGGTTGGTAATCACCCTCCCCCCAGGTAGTCTTTCTGCTCTGCACTCAACATTTTTAGAGCTAGAAGCCTGATTTTTTCGTATAGCTGCTCCTCTATCCTCTATCCTCTAGTCAACACTGCAATCAGTGGTGACTGCCCACTACTGAAAGCCCCCAATTTATCAGCACACTCACACATTCATTACATTCATAGCATTCATACACGTTGGGGAAAGTGTCCAAGTCCACTGGGGCAGGTTAGTTAGAGGGGGATTCACAGTCATAGCCAAGTCATCATCAAACTCTGGTCAAATTCAACGTATGTCAGCAGCAAGGTAGCCCGGGCTCCCAGAGCACCCAACGAAGCGAGGCTTGTTGTCGGGCGCTCCAAGGTCCCAGGCCGCCAAACAGATGGGGTGGCACATTACAGTATCATGCACACATCACACTTACACACTCATTTACACAAATAAATGATATGCACAAATCCATGTCCACAAATCCAAATCCATCCATCCATGCACAAATAAATGCGGTGCGAGCGACTTAAGCGAGTGTCATTCGAGCGAACGTCATTTGAGCGAACCATTTTCAGCGAATGGCAATTCAGCGATTATCAAGTTAAGCGATTATCAAATATAACGATTATCAATTTTAGCGAAAGCTATGTTTCAGCGATACCTATTTCGTCGACTACAATGTGAGCGACTGTCAGTTCAGCGAAACACTTCATCGTCCTATTACGGTGTATTTTTTTTTTTTTTTTACTTTTGCCAGCGCATACGTATAATAGTAAAGTAACCTTGCGTACGAAAGTTTTCGGAGTTTCTCATAGTTATCTGGAACTGGATGGCGGATGTCACGCTCTAAGGTCAGACATTGAGTTCCAAATTTAATGCTACATTTCTAAAAAAAAAATCAACGGTTCAATTTCACTCCCCTGCTCTTTGCCAATCATGGTGACCAAACATTTGTTCAGAGATTCATATCGCTTGCGCTGTTTTTCACGAAATTCCCCCGCTTGGATTTGGATCAGTTCCCATGTTGTAAATTTGGTCTTGCCCCAAGCACCGTACAAATTTTCAGGTATTTGGGTGAGGTCCCTGAAACATAGACTAGATTTCCCTGTGCCATCTCTCGAGTTTATTATTGGTCCTTGGCATTCCTTCCGTCGTCCTATCTCTCACATTCCACATTTTCAATTCAAATTTTGCCCGCCTCCTTCCCTCCCACCCCTTGTTGGTCGTCCGATGTATGTGTCTTCAAATGATGCGTAAAGCGGTGCAATAATTTTCAAATTACTTTGTTCCCGAAGTTCGTCCTGCTGCTCATAACTATTGACCACAAGCTGAGAAGGAAGAAATGCCGGAAAGCCAAGGACTTAAAAGCAAATTTATATTTTGCCGCGTGCAGCTTGAAGCATGACACCTACCAAACGGGTATTCCAAGGGCAAGAATTTCCGAGAAGTAGCAAATGATTGACTTTTGTCGCGTTCGGTTTCGCTGTAACTGCATCGCTCAATTGGTCTCCCATTGACCACCATATACTCGCTCAATCTGGTTTTGCTGATTCTGGTCCTCGCCAAAGTTGATAATCGCTGTGATTGAATTCGCGGACTTGACAATTGCTGAAAAGGTCAATCGCTTAAATTGATAATCGCTGAAAATGTTTCACTCAAATGTCGTTCGCTGAAATGACGCTCGCTCAGGTGTCGCAGAACCAAATAAATGATATCATGCAAACCCAGCCAATGTAGGTATGCGCCCTAGTTTAGGCACATATTCTTACACACTTGTGTGTACTCAATTCAAGCATGATAAAATGCCATTATGAACGGTTGAAAAACAAAACCGATGATAGGCGTAAATGGGTAATGGTGAGCGGTGGCGCAAAAGGGCCGCTCGATTTGCATAGGCCGCGAACAAAGGGTCGCCGCCGCCGCCGCCGCCGCGGAGTCGCGGAGTCGCGGCCTGCAGCCGGCAGCGGCCCCTCCCCGTCGGAGCAGTGGAGGAGGGTGCGTGCCGCGGGGAGGGGAGCCGGCGGCGGGGGAGGGCGCCGGCACCTGCCGACCTCCTGGTGCCCCGCGGCGCCCCGGCACCCTCCAGCCAGGCGTGACCGCGCCGCCGGCGCCCTCCCCGCCCTTGACCCGACATAGACCCACCGCCGCCCCTGCGCCGCGACCGCCGCGAGCGCGAGCCGACGGTGACCATTGTGACGCACACCGGGCGGGGCGTGCGCCGCGCTCGCCCCCAGTGCGCCGCATTCGTCCTCAGCCGTCCGTGAAATCCCATTTGGCGCATTGTGCGAGCGGGAGACGCGTGCGGCGCCGGTGAGAACAGGTGGAAAGGTTTCCCGGCGGTTGGGTCACAGCGCGCCGGTCATGGTGTGTCGTTTCGGGAACTAGCGAATGAAGTTTAGTACCGCCGTTCACCGGTGGATGGCGCTAGCTGGTAGTTTCGGCGAAAACTCCATCTGAGATGTTTGAAGGCTTCCCTTAATCCCTTGTTCAAACATGGACCCCGTCAGCCCCGGCAGAGGTATTTGTCCACTTCCAGTGTACACCGCACCTGAGGACGGGTCAGCTGAGGGAGGGGAGTCACTATTGTGGCCTGAGGAATGCCGCGCCGGTCGGGGGACGGGGTCGGGAGGAGGGGGAGAGAGGCAGCGCCGTTCTTGCGGTGACGGGCTGGCTTGTCGCCTAAGCCTGGCATACGCTCAGTCGGCGAGGCGATGCGCATGACCCGGGAGCAGCTGAGAGTCCATGACTCCATACAGACAATTGGCTCGTTTGTAAGCACGAACACTTGGAATGTTGCTGGTGCAGAATTTAAGCATAGGGACGATGTTTTTTTTTGTGCCAAATTTTGTGTAGGTAGGTACATGTAAGGAATTTATAGAAATTTATTGTGACAGTTTCCAAAAAATCGGTCCAAGTTTTATAAGATATCGAGGTTTTAGTGACGTCATGATTTGAGTTTTCGTCTTTCGACAAAAACGACACATGTTTAAAAAAAATCATGGGTATAAAATCACAGAATAGACATACAGACATGCTAAACGTCATTGGACTGCCAATGCCTACCATGAACAATCAAATTGCCATCTTCGATTTTTGATTACCTATCGTTCTATGGTTTCCAAAATCTTGAATGGAATCTTGGCAATCTCTTGTAGACTACTTTACGACCATGATGAATGCATTTCATAACCCGCACTCCGCTGGGGGTCCTGGAATTACATGCCCTGCTGGTGGGCGGGGGTGTTTGAACATTCCCTTTTAAATTCGGCTCCCGGGCCATGTAGCGATACGGGGAAAGCGACGTTCGAAAAAGCGTAAGGAATAATGGCGAAATTTATACTTAGGTCACTTTTTCGGTCAGGTCAAAGGTCAGGTCACACCAGAGGTGTTTTGGACCCATGCTACTGAAAGCCCAATTTCATGTGTTTGATCTGACCTTGACCCGACCTGTGACCTTGAAATTCAACTTTCAGGTGCTCATCGTAAGTGTCTCGTCGCGTTCTTTCGTTTGCCTTCTCGTCCGTTTTGCTGCGTCTATTGGTTCTTGAGTCGGGTAGCAGCTCTATTGGTTCCCGAGTTGTGCGCCGCTTTTTGAAGAAAAAATGTTGAAATAATCGGCCCAGCCGTTCTCGAGATCTGGAAGCGCCCCCTGACGTG